TTCCTTCCTTCCTTCCTTTCCTTCCTTCCTTCCCTTGAAACCCCCACACTGCTGTTTCATCCTTGAGTTACCCCTAACACAACTACATTGAGAGTTGCTCTGTCTCTTCATACTCACTGGCATTTGTATTATTGGTTATTTGTTTGTTGTGTGGTTTTGTTTCTAATTTTTTTTTGGCAACAGTCACTCTTGCTGGGAGTGAGCTGATAATCCACCATGGCTCTGACATCCATTTCTCTAATGGTTAGTGATGTGAAACGTTTTTTCCCATATATTTCTTGGCCCTTTGTATGTCTTTTAAGAAACATTTTTTCAGGCCATTTGCCATTTGACTGTTCCATATATTTCTGGATACTAATCCCTTGGTAATTAGAATGTGTCTGAATACATTTTATTTCATTCTTTAGGTTGTTTATTCACTGTAAGTTGTTTCCTTTGTTGTGCAGAAACTGTTTAGTTTTCTATAATCCCATTTGCCAAGGTTTTTGCTTTTTTAAAAATTTTTATTGTAAAAATACTGTACAGAGGGGTTACAGTTACGTGAGTAAGGTAATGAGTCCATTTCCTATCGAGCATTGTTACCCCCTCCTTTGTTTTCCCCCTACCATCCCTCCCTCCCCACCACCACAACTTCTCACCTACCCTCCACCTCCCCACGAAGTTGTAAAGTTCATTTTCAACATAATGTCTTGTACATCTCATTGTTACATTGAGTCAACCTGTATCCTTATTTAGCATTTTGTTATTCCCCTTCCCTTCCCCAAATTAGATAAATGTATATACAAGATGCAGGGCACCTTAATCAAATACAGTAAAAACAGGGGTTATACCATGGGGGAAGAACATACAAAATACACACAAAAAAATCACACAGTACATTATAAGTACATTAAAAAAAACAGCAACAAAGATAAAACATCTGTATCCCTATCTTGGGGTTCATTTTGCTTAACATCATCTTAAATGATTAGATGTAAATAGCTTTTGACCTTTTCTGCTTGTCCTAGACATATGCTAGTTATTGTTTTTTTTTTTAATCTGTGCTTTAAAAGTTGAAACCAGAAAGTCTCTGCTCAGACCAATGTCATAAAGTACTTCCCCTGTGTTTTCTTCTAGTAGTTTTATAGTTTGGTGTATTCCATTTAAGTTTTAAAAAAATATTTTGAATTAATTTGCAAACTAATAAAAGGACGAAGAAGTCTAGTTTATTTCTTATGTAAATTGGTTATCTAGTTTCTCTAGTACCATTTATTGAAGAGACTTTCCTTTATCTAATGTGTTTTATTGGCATTTTTGTGAAAAATAGATTAGTTAGGCATACATGGATTTGTTTCTGAGTTGTCTACTCTCTTCCATTGTCTCTGTGTCTGTTCTTGTGTGAGTTTTTTTTTTTATTGTGAAGATACTGTACAGAGGGGTTACAATTACATGCGCAAGATAGTGAGTACATTTCTTATCAAGCGTTGCAGCCTCCTCCTTTGTTTCCCCTTCCCCACTTGTGTGAGTCTTTGTTGTTGTTGTTAGTATCAGCACTGTAATTTTGTTTGCTATAGCTTTGTAGTATGTTTTGAGGCTGGAAATTGTAATGCTTCCAGCTTTACTCTTCTTACTCAGAGAATTTCTTTCAGGTAGCATGTGATTATGTTTTATATTTTTCAAAATCTATTCAGTCAGTTTAAATCATTTTGTCTTTTTAAATGCCCATACTTGGGCTTAAACTCCAGGACTCCTGCTTGGCTTTTTTGATCAAGGCTAGTGTTCTATCACTTGAGCTATAGAAGATTTCTTATAAAGATGTTACAGAAGTATTGCATTGACATTGAAATAGAGAAAAAAAATCAGTATAGAAGAATAGACAACCTCCAAAAAGACCCACACATATACAGAATGATTGTAGAGACACACGAGGAAGAAAGAACTTTATGATGACCTTTGCTATAGTTAGAATCCATTTCTTCAAATATTGAAATTGTACTTCAGGTTCTCATAACACAGGCCTCGTGGAAAGATCTAAGCTTAAAGGCAACATTATGAAACTTTTGGGAGATAATATTAATATAAAGCTTAATCAAATTTGGAGACACATTTTTGTCACTCGGTCTACAGACAGCACTAACCATAAAAAAAGAGAACTGATAACTCTGACAACACCGAAATTAAGAAACTGTATTTAGTTTTTTTTCTTTTTTTTGTACATTTTTTATTGTGAAAATACTGTACAGAGGGGTTACAATTACATGGGCAAGATAATGGGTACATTTCTTATCAAGCATTGTTGCCCCCTCCTTTGTTTCCCCTTCCCATCGCTTCCCATTACCACCCCCCCCGCCCCCTACCCGATCCTCCCCACCCCACCAAAGTCGTAAAGTTCGTTTTTCGACATAATGACTTGTACATCTCATTGTTGCAATGGGTCCACATGCATCACTATTTAAACGATTTGTAAGAAACTGTATTTCTGAACAGAGTCTAAGGAAAGTGACAGGGCAGCCTCCAGAGTGGGAGAAGGCATCTGCAATACACAGAAATGTTTGAAGCCGCCATCTACCACCAGGCCAAAATACCATGACACACAGAAAAGCAACAGAAAAATGCACAACAAGTTTGAACTTCAAAAAGTATCACCTCAAATGCATTACTAACATGGAAGCTGATGGACTTCATTAGCAGGCAAACAAACTAAAACCACAATAATAAAGTATTCACAAGTTTGACCCAATGAAAATATCTAATAATATCGTGATCACAAGTGCTTAAGGCAATAGAAACTCACAAATTCCGATGTCTAATTTGTCTTCAACTTGCTTTGATCTATCAAAATGGAAGTTTTCCATATTTTGTGATATAATAGTCCTATTTTTAAGGTATTTTAGGGAAACTCTTGCTTACCTGCACCAAAACCCATAGAAAACATGTTTATAGTAATGAATTGTACCCAAATTTAAAACTTTGAATATGTATCAAAAATGTAGCAAAATAGATTAGCTGAGTGAATCATTGTCATACAGCAGAATATTAGGCGGAAATAAAAATAACCTCTGGCTCTATGTATCAACCCAGAAGAATTTCACAAACAATATCTGACACCAGAAGGAAGTCATAGATGACACTGAAATTCAACCTTATCATATTCTTATAAAACTTAAAATCAATTAAAAATAAACTATGTTGTTCAAGGCTGTGTACACAGGCAGTAAACCTGAAAGGAAAACAAAGGAAAATCCCAAGGCGTGGGTAGTTTTCCATTTGGCGGTAGGAGAGGAGTTTATAGTCTTGGGGGACTTGGGGAATTTTGATTATTGACAACCATCTCTTAATATAATGCTGGTCTGATAATTCATTTTATAACAATTACCTTAATGGTCCAGTATCCTAGTTAGAGCTTGGTGAATATGATGTATTTTATAATTAAAGAATGTTTCTGGAACCTGGGGAAGGTAGCTCATGCGTGTAATCCTAGTCACTTGGAAGGCTGAGCTTGATCTAGACCAGCCTGAGTGGAAAAGTTCTCAACTTAGAGCTGAGTGGGGGGGGGGGTCATGTATGCTATCCCAACTACAAAAGAAAAGCTAAAATAGGCGGATCACAGCCCAGATGCATGTGCCTGGACCGAAAGTGAGATACTATCTTAAAATCAGCCCCTACAAAGAGGGCTTGGAGGTAAGACTCAGTGGAACACAGCTGCCCAGCAAGCACAAAGCCAGTGCCTTGTTTTCAGACCTCAGTACTTCCAAAAAAAGAAAAAAGAAAGGGGAATGTTATGTGCTGTCTTGCTGTGACCCTAAAAAAGGCCAACTTTAGCTTTTAGATCATGTTATAATCCGTGTAGGGACCATCACAACATACACAAAAATGTTTTTTTTATGCTTTTTAAAAGCTCATTTTTATAACAAATATTGCCAGTTTCTGAATGGATCTTATAAGGCTTTTCCTTCCATTTCCCAGGCCCCATCCCGGATTAAAACATTGCTCACGTTTGCTGCTAGTGTGTTATGGGGACCGGGGGGTGGGGGGAGAATGTAGTTATAAAATTCAATGCACATCCTACAACATTAAGAAAATTGAGTGGGGGTAGGGTTGTGAGGGACGAACGGGGTGGCATTGATCAAGATTGCATGAATAAACTGCTTTGGAAGGGCGAATGCTTCGTACAACTCTTTAAAGATTATTTTTTAGAAAGTTTAATAAAACATAAATATGATTGGGGAAACAAAGAGACAACACCATGTCTAAACTCCCAATTCTTACTCCAGGATTTCAATAGGTGTCAGGGGTCATTATTGTCCTTTCAGTGAAGTATTTCCTGAACATGTGGAAAATGACCCTGTGGTAGAGAAGAATGAGATGAGGGGAGTCCTAAGAGCACATTCTCCAGATCAGCTGTCCTCATGAGACTTCCTCATGGAATGACTGTCAAGACACGCAATTAATTCGGCTGAGAGAAATGCTTCAAGGCACCGAGTGCGGCAGGCCGGATCACAGTGGGATCGTTTTCCATCTCCTGCCCTATCTGCTCCATGTCTTTTACTCCTTGGTATCCATGTACACGGTCATGGGGTGCTCCAACCAACAAGGCAGGCAGGCCAGACTATTGGCCACTTCCTTCTGCACAGGCCAGCCCCAGGCTTGAAAGAAGGGGACCAGATTCTTCTGTACTTTTTCAGAGAACTTCTTCACCCAGAGATTCATCTTGCTCGTGTTGTCTTTGGGGAGCCCAGAGAAAGTCTGGTAGTCGGCAAAAAGCTGGGTGAATGGCTCCCAACCAAAGGTCTCCTGGAGCTGGAAAGAGAAAGAACAGCCAGAAGCACAGTCAGGTTTGCCAAAGCATATTCGTGAATATACTTCATTTACTGTGAGTTCCTCCCCCTTGTCATCAGATTCACTTCTCTTCTGGCCCCCATCTCTCCACCAAACATAAGCCAAACATCTCACTGCACAAACATAACCTCCATAGCTCACTCCAGCTCTCTGCCATAAAACAATAATGTCTAGCCTAGCAGAGGGGCTCATGGGAGACATAATACATGGAAAGAGGAAAATAGTCAATGAATGATTATCTGTACCAAAACCTAATCAAATCTTAAGAAGTTTTCCTCAGCTTCAGGACAAACTTGGGCCTGATTAAGATTGGAAACCACCATACCCTTTTCATTTTGTTGGTTTAAGACCAGGACTTGAACTGGGTATCTGATGTTTTTGCTCACTGGCTGATGCTCTACCACCTGAGCCATGCCTCCAACCCTGAAACTACCATAGCCTAAATATTTGGCCTATCAGTGTTGGTGACTTCCAACATTTTCCAGACATAACAATAACTGTATTTTTTACAAGCCACCTCAGACCTTTGACTAACTGTAAGGTGCTCTATAGGCAAAGAAAAAGAAACAGGCATGTTATAAGCAGCTTAAAAGTAGAGAAACTCACTTAAATAAGATTACAGAAATTTGCAATTAGTAGAGGTCTGTGGATTTCCATTCCCTTCTCTCCTGTTTTATGGAAGAAAATTCTTTAAATCTGGATGTAAAACCCCAGGACAGAAGAAGCTTGAGGCAAGCCTCCCTCAGCGTTCATTACTGCTCATCTGTCCTTGATAGTTAGCCTCTGGCAGTCTCCCTGACCATGGCCTATTAATTAATGCATTCATAGATTAAACTTTATTAAAGATGAAATAGTTGTGAGTTAGCTACAATATGCCAGACATGGTGCTTGGCAAAAATGATGAAGAACTTGTATCTGTTTGGAGGACCCAGGTCAGTGGAAGTGACAGATATATAAATAGGCAGGAATCAGTTCATGGAGAGTGAACGAGTGGGTGGATGGGATGGAAGGAGAGTTTTAACTGATACTTTGGTGACAAGCTACCATTAAAATCTGCTGTTCTGTAGGTCCACGGGCTGGCTGAATAAAGCATATAGAAACTGTGTGGAAACACCTGGGTTTGATCTTCACAATAAAGAAGGATGAGAGGAAGAGGAGGAAGAGAAAGAAGAGGATAAAGAGGAAGACAATGAGAAGGAAGAGGAACAGGAGGATGGAAGAAAAATGGAAGGAAGGAAGGAAGGGAGGGAAGGAGGAAGGAAGGAAGGGAGGGAAGGAGGGAGGAAGGAAGGAAGGAAGGAAGGAAGGAAGGAGGAAGGAAGGAAGGAAGGAAGGAAGGAAGGAAGGAAGAAAAGAAAGAAGGAAGGGAGGGAAGGAGGAGGGAAGGAAGGAAGGAAGGAAGGGAGGGAAGGAGGAAGGAAGGAAGGAAGGAAGGAAGGAAGGAAGGAAGGAAGGAAGGAAGGAGCACAATGCAAAATTGTGCCTGGACTGAGATAATCTTACAATCATTCTTCCAAAAATTATTGAAAGAAACAAAAAAAAAAAAGCAAAGATGGTACGAAAGCTTGGCCTTTCACTAGCTGCCAAGTTTCAGTTCTAAGTTCATCATTTACCTGAACGGCCCTTGCATGAAACTGTGGAAAGCAGGTCATACCACCCTTAGCAGTAGAACTGCAGTAGTGAGCAGGAGGAATCAGACCAGGAAACAGCTCTGACAACTCACAAGGGATGAAATGCAAAGCAGAATTGGAGGCCCAGGGCCCGGGTGTGGGGTGGGGGGAATAGATAGAAATGTGTGCTTATTTCATAGGAAACAGGCTCAACTTTTGTGTTGCTCAAGCAGGTTTATCAGTTATTTTCTTTAATGAATGTTGATTCAAATGGGTGCCATTTAATTCTTACAAGGCTCTACTGCAATTCAATTGCTCTGTTGTCAAGTTCTAGTCATTATATAAGGATGCTAACATTCATGGGACCCATAGACCCATAAAAGTAAGGAGAGGAAAACACAAGAGACAATGAGTGAATGGAAACGTATTAGGAGATCAAAGCCAAAACCAGCAGGGGAGGAACTGTGACTCAGTCTCAGCATGGCTCACTCAGAGCTTATGTAAGCTCCTCACCAATGTGCTAGAGAACAGAGACAATTACCCTGTTTCATTCTTTTGTAATAGCTTTTTCATTGCAGTATATCAGCTCAAGCGAGGGGGACCCTGGGTTATTCTCATCATACACGCACCCAGCCCCACGAACCACACGGAGGGGAGGTGGTACCCCAGGCTGGGAGAGGTCATAAAGGAGATGGAGAATGAAGGGTGTGGAAAGCCCATGAAATCCTCTCCGATTTCCGCTCGGTACCTGCAGGTATGTCTCCAAAGCCGTCCACACATTCCAGTCTTGCAGCGGCGCGCCTTTGCTCCGGTATGCTTTGATTCTCTTCTCTCTCTCGGCTGGTCTCAGGGCGCAGTGGGCCAGTGCCCGGGGGATGCCCAGGACGGTCTCATGCACGTACACTGACCACAGGTTGCAGGTGGCCTCGGTGGTGTGCGGGGGGAACTCCCACGCATGGCGCTGCTGGTTGTGGCCCAACTCGTGGATGGGTCCCCACAGACCTCTGCTTTTCATGCTCGGCTCGTGGAGGAGCTCCTGCACCGACTCCAGGTGGCACATGATGGGGTACCCCGAGTGCATCCAGCCTGGGGGGGGGAGGGAGAGTTGCAGCTGGGAAGGAAGCGCCACTCCAACCTTCTCCCTCCACTTCCTTCCACTGGGGAACGTTTCCCCACCGCCCCATATGGATGTCTCTAATAATGGCAGAATGCCTCTGGTGGCTGTAAAGTAGATGGATTTGTGGGAGCACCTCCTTCCCGTCCCACCCTTCCCCTCCTGACTCTACTTTGGAGCGTACAGGGATGCACTCTACAGGATCCTCCCTGGAATCCCAGGCTTCTTTTGTGGGTCCTCTGTCTCCATGCGAGGTCTCGCAGGCTAGCACAGGCTCAGTTCCACCCTTCCCTCAACTCTACACTGCCATCTGGATTTGTACTCCACGACAGAAATAGCTTCGTCCTTTCTTTCTTTACTGGTAAGGAAGTTGAAGTTCAATGCAATCTTCCCACGGGGGGAGCAGAGCTCTTGATTTCCTGCCCTTTCCTTTCTACCAATCCACACCTAGTGCAAACTTCATTATTCTGTTTCCTCATTCATTTTCAATGCTGACTATCTTTAAAGAAAATAATTCACTTGTATACTCTCCTTGGAATAACCTTCACTGACGTAAGGGACCGCCCAATACCAACTTAAGGAGACTGTCCTACTGTCTGTCCTATGAATCTTGCAGACAGCAATTATTTACCTTTTTTTTTAAAATCAGAAACATCTTTTAGCTCTGTCATGGTACATGTCTTCTATGTCTTTTTTCCCCTCCTTATTTACTCTTTATTATATCTTGGACATTAAGTGAAGTGCAAGTCGGGTCCAGAGGCTCATGCCTGTTATTCCAGGTACTTGGGGGTCAGAGACTGGGACTGGGAGGATTTCAGTTCAAAGTATGGCGGCCCACGCCTGCTACCCCAAAAGACATGGGAAACATAAATAGGAGGATCATGGTCCAGTTGGCCTAGGCAAAAGTTAAGAGCCATCTCCCAAAGATACAAGGAAAAAAGGGAAGGGGTAATTGTGACAGGCATTCAGCCTAGCGAGCATGAGACCCTGGTTACAACACCCTGTACCACCAAAGTGAAAAAACGATGACTAAATCGTGCGCACTGACTGCGCATGCTCCCCAGGGTACCCACCAGCGGAGATCTGCACGTCAGCCACAATCCTCTCAGGTCTGCAGAAAGGGAAGGGCTGGGCTGCCAGCCTGGCTATGGCCTGCATCATCTGATCCCAGAGCCGGAGCAGAGGCTCGGGGTCCTCCAGGGCCTGGAGGTGTGTGGTTGGCACTGTCAGGATGATGTTGTCTGTGGCCAGCTCTCCCCAAGGGGCCGCATTCTCCTTGACATTCCGCCTCCATTCCTCCCGGGTCGTCTTACCTGTAATAAACACCAACCTGCCACATGCTGTCCCAACTTCTCTTAGAGCTGACCAAATACAACTTGAACTCCGTGAGGAGAACACTGAAATAATGAACTGCCTTCCCACGGAGCTCTAGGCTGTGTCATGAAGAGAAACTTCCAGACCTTTCTCTCTGCTCTGCTCTGCCCCGAAGTCTCCATGGACACCCGGTGTTCTGTATCTCTACTCTGCATGCTCACCGCTCAAAGTTCTCCTTTTCCTCTCCACTGACCCTTCTTCCCCTTCCCTGGGGCAGCCAGCGCTCACTCCACCGTGTCGGCAGCTCTTCTTCCCTCCATCCCTGCACTCACCCAGCTTGTAGTAGGGGGCAGGCACTGCCCTCCTGATGGTGACGGGTACCAGGCCAAGTTGGCTGTGCTTGGGCACGACGATGTACAGGAGGCCACCCCATAGACAGGAGACAGACCGCTGGGGCCTGTCCATGCAGCACTGGTGAGTGACCACGGGGGCCCGAGACAGCTGGCTGGCGTTGGTCAGGTCGTCGGTGTGGCAGCCAATCTGTACCTGGACAGGTGTGGTCACCATGTGTGTGTGTGGGAAGTAGAGTCCCTGAGGGTATGTGTGTGTGTGTGTGTGACTATATGTGTATGTGGGGGGTTAAGTGGGGGGTATGTGTGAGTGTATACGTGTGTATGGAGGGGTATGTGTGTGTACATGTGTAGGTATGTGTGTGTACATGTGTAGGTATGTGTGTGGGGGGTATGGGTATGGATATATGTACGTGTGTACGTGTGTGTGTGTGTGTGTGTGTGTCTACAGGAAGGGTATTAGACATAGCTCCCAACTTCTCTTTTCCACTAGCGAGTGACACATGGAAACTTACAAAGCTGTAGCACTCCGATGTCATGCAGACTAAAACGTACAAGCATTCTTTCCTAGGAATAGAAAGAGCCCGACGGCGGCCAGACCTCCAGCATGTCTCGGTGAGATACCAGTAGGTATAACCCAAGGCTGAGGCTGAGGCGGGAGGGCACCGTGCTGTCTTCCTACCAGGCCGAAGCCTAGCCTGTACCAGGCCTGCGCAGCAGAGCAAGTCCTGTGCTGCAAGGGGACCGGGAGATTGCGGCGGCCCCTTGCCAACAGAGGCTGAGTCATGGGGCTCAGGCACAGAGGCCTGGCTCCCCTTTATTCCACACGCCCCTGCCACTTTATCTGCGGTCCTGGGCTTGCTTGGGTAGAAGCAGGGGAGCTCTGGAGGGAACGCTAACACAACAGAGCCCCACTGAAGTGGGGCGGGGGTGACTCTCAGAGTTGAGCAGGGGTGAAACTCCAGGAAGAGCATAATCCAAAGGGCCTTTGGATGTCCAGATGAGGAGGTAAAACCCAGCCAGGCCGGTGCTAGCAGGTCTAAGAGGGATGGGTGCAGTCAGATGTCCCAGGGCAGGGATGTGGTGGTGGCTGTGGGACTGGTCTCTGGGCTGCAGTCACTCACAGACCCTGAGAGGGACAGGGTGGTTTTCTCCCCGTCCCCCCTGAAGCCTTGAGCTAGATAGGGAAGTGGGAAGGACCGCCTTACCTTCAGGCCAGCAGAGGCAGCCGCTTCCGGCAAGGAGACCTCTGCACTTTGCCCTTCTAGGACATAGAGCCCCGTGCTCACCCAGGCTTCACCGTCGCCTGCCAAGAGTCCAAGAGAAGGCTGAGCTCTCTGCTCGCACGTTACTATGACCCCATCCCCACCCTCATCCCAGCGTCTCCCTGCTGAATCCAGGCTGTTCACGCTCCCTGCACCTACCCCTCCTGTCTTTGTATTTCTTCTTGGCTTTTTTTTTTGGAATGGATGGTTGAAATTAGGGCACTGTTCTTTCGACCCAGGAGTCTATGACTTAAGACATGTCACTGCCCGTTTTTACTTTGGTTATAATTTGAATAGGCTCTCAGGTTTTTGCTTCAGGCTGGCCTTGGACTAGGATCCTCCTCCCTCTATCTCCTTCAAAGCCGGCACTACAAGCATGAAGACAGGGACTCGCTCATTACTTTTATGCCCAGTCTAGCCTTGAACCACCACCTTCCCAGTCTCTGCCTCCTACCTTCTAGGCCTTCCATGGAACTCTAAGGCCTATCTTCTTGAAAATGCCTAGTAAAGCATGGAGCCAGCCTTCCTGAAGCCCAGCATGTCTAAGGCCTTGCGAAATCAGCCATGTCTACCTACCATCCCAGCCTGGGATGCGGTGAGCACTGCTCACCCCTACCTGGGTTGTTTCCATTGATCTCCAGGGCGATGGGATGGTCTGATGGGGGCAGCGTGGAGGAGCAGGTCCGATTGCCAAGGCGCTGAGCCAGCTGGGAGCAATCAGTCCCTGAGTGTGCCAACTCTGTGGCCAGACAGAGCATGGTGGCCTCATGGGAGCCTCTGGCTACTGGATTGTTCTTGCTCACAGCTGGGAGGCCAGCCTGTGTGAGCATCTTCCTGAGCAGCCTGTGTAGGGATATATAGGCGGGAAGGCCCTCTGCAGGAATCTGAAGGAAGGCCGCGCCATCTACCCCCAGCTTCGCCAGATGGCTTTTTTCCATAGTTTCCCCGCCATGGTTCAACACTGCCTGGAACTCAGACAGCGCCTTGCGGAGGTGGTAGCTCTGCATGTCTGGAGTAGGGGCAGGGAAGCAGCCCGGGCTGAGGGTCTGAGGTAGGATGCTGAGGCCAAAGCAGTTGAGGATGACATTTCCAGGGAAGCCAGCCAAGGGGTTGCGGCCTGGGTTCTGGGAAGCCCACCACCAGGCCTGCCCACCTATCAGCAACCCCCCGCCCTCAGCCACAAACTCATGGATCTTCTTGGCCTCCCGGTCACTGTAAGCCACACAGCAATAGACACACAGGTCTTTGGTTAGCTGGGACTCCAGGGTGCATTCCAGGTCCTGCTCCACAAGCAATGAGTGCAGCTTTGTAAGACTTGTATTCACCCCAACTTTGCCCTTCTGGCCTCTGGCCAACCAGTGAACAGCATTGAGCAAAAAAGGTCTCATCTTGGGAGCACAGAGCAGGCCTTCGTGAGCAGCCACGACCACTCGCCCACGGCCATGGCGGGCAGCTGCCAGGAAGCAGCCGAGGGAGGCATCGAGTCCCACAGGGAAGGCCAGGGCCCCGTGGACCAGCAGCTGTGAGGGGACCCCCCCTGTCTTGATGTCCAGCTCAGAGATCCCCGCCAAGAGCTGCTGCTGGTCCTGTCTGAGTTCCACCCCGCACCTGAGGAGACACAAGAGACCAAGAGGCTACAGTGAGTAGTAAGAGCTCACTTACAGTGGAAAGACTGCAGGGCTCCTGTCCACCTTTCCATTGCTGATCAATAACATTTGGGCCATCATGAAGAGGTTAAAAAAGCACCCATGTAAAACACACTTCCAATGCAATGGCAGAGATACAACATGGAGCTGTAGATGAAGCAAAACAGCTTTCATTTGCTGAGGTAGAGGCTCCTGGGGGTAATTAAGAGGATCGTGCTGACAGAATTTAACCTGTCTGTTTCCTAATATAAGAATTTTTTTAAAAAAACAAACAAACAAATTTGATTCACCCAGTCTCCCTGGTAACCGCAGCACCTCCCCAACCCAGTTAGAAGGGAAAGAATTCCAAGCCTGCCTGTCTTGGGAGTGAGGGTCCAGGGCCCTGCTAGCTTTTCACTCGATATTGACAGGACCCCCTTCTTCTTTTGCCAGGGTCTTTCTTTCTTCAGAGATACTGCCCATTTAAAAAGATTTGATCTCTCAGGCCCCCAGGGAGCTGAGGCTGGCCAAGCTTTAATCCTGCTTCCTAAGATATAAATGAAAGTCTAATGGTTCTGACTTCCCCCACAATAAAAGGCTTTCGAAATTAAAAGAGACAGACCCAGCAGGTGTATCTATTCTAGCTAATTATTGTCTAGGTATACATAATTATAGTGCCTGGAGTCATTATCTTATGGCGATAAACATAAAAGCAATGCACTGTGACAAAAGTAGAGAAGAGAGAGAGAGTCATAGACTGGGGCCCATGGGAGCAATGCCAGAAGCCTGCATTTCCTACCCAGGCTTCATCCTGCACAAGAAAAATAAACTTCAACATGTTTAACGCATCTGCTATAGAAAAGCCTCCACTATATAGACAGAGTCACTGCCATATCAAAGCCCAAATATCCAAAACTGGCTTTTGATCTCTTGTCTTTCACAACTCAGTAGATGGCAATACCTGTCTTTAGGCAACTCAAACCCCAACTCTCAACTCCTCATTCCCCTCTTCTTCCATATTCATCCCAACAGCCAAGTCTGCAAGTGCTACCTCAGCGTATACAATGGAAGTTCTCCCTTGCAGCTCCACTATGGCCAGGGTAGCGGAAGCCACTAGCTAGGCGGCTTAGTTCAGTGGCCTCCTGATCAGCCTCTCCATCCTTCACATCACGTGAGTCCTTGGTATAAATTCTCTGTATAGATTCTCTGTCTTCTATCCCCAAACAAGTTCTATCGATGGGTCTAGCTGAGATGGTCTTTCTTGCAGGACCTTGCTTCCTTTTGATCCAGCCTTTGTTCACGCAGCTCCAACCATCTTTGCTTCCTAGATGTTCCTGGAATGTACCCAGCCTGCTTCTGTTTTGGGTTTCAGCCCTGGTTCCTTGCTAGGTCTCGATTCCTCAGCTGATGGTTGTAGATGGGGCTTGTTCTCTCACTTCTTTAAGGTGTCCTTTTCAAACATTACCTCCCAGAGAAGCCTTCCATGCTGGCCATTTGCTTGTTTGCATGTAAAGCCACTGGTCCCTCTCTCTGGCCACCCTCTGTGCTACAGGAAGTTGTATTACCTTGGCTTGCTTACCCCCAGATACAGGTGGGCTCAACCCATGAGAAGGAGAGAGACAACTGAAGGTAGAAGAAAGGGTTCCAGCTCTGCCCAGGTTGACCTCCCATCTCGGGTCCAGCCCGGTTGGACAGTGCTAGCCACAGCTCCATTATACACAAGGTGGCCATTGCACCTGGCCTTTTATAACACCACCCCCTCCACTGTCTGTCCTGATGTAGCTGATGTCCTGGTGCGCTTCTACTTTTCCATCTATTCCATATCTTGAATCCTTCTTTAAAACACCATTAAATATTGATTCAGTGTGATTGCCAGGTCTTCTGACCCACACACTTTCCCTGAAGATACTAAATAAAATAGCTCCCACTCTCCTCTTCACACGCTGTCTGCAAAACTTGCTTGATTTCCCCGCTTTGTAAAAACCTGACAGAATATCTGTTGATTTGTTTCCTTACACACCTAGATCTCCATTGGAACACAGGCCTCCTGGGCAGCATGGTTTGCTGGTGCTGTGCTCTGCTGCACCACCATGTGTCCAGAACAGGGCTTGGCTTAATGCTAGTTGCTCACACCCACAAATGTCCTTCCATTTTCTTAAGAAACTGATAGGCAGGGATAGAGTAGCACGTAAGATGAGCTTTTCTCTGAAGCAGATTATTGCCTGGACTGGAAGAAGGACTGCCTGGCAGTGAGGACCAGCCTCTTTTGGGTCTTGGTACGTTTCAATTACCCTCCTTTTGATCTGTGGGCGTTCCAACATTGAGTAAAAAAGTACTATCCGTATTGAAAGAGAAGCTCACTGAAGAAGACACTTCAGCTTGATTATTAAACACAATTCAGACTCCCTAGTGGGGAACACACACTCACCTGACATGGAGTGGAATCTTTGGCACCTTCTTAGAGACCTTGAAACGGCCTACATCACCATAGACGTCAGTGAAGTACACGCCTGCCACGCCGGTCAGCTGGTTCCCAGGGAACGTGGACAGCACCTTGTCACGGCCGTGCTGACTGGCCCAATACCAGGCTTGGCCCCCAGTGAGCACGCCGCCTCCACGTTTCATAAACTGGACCAGTTTCTCAGGCAAGGTGTCACTGTAGGCATTGGTGCAGTAAACTCCTAAGGGCTCTCCGGGTTGTGGCCCAATTTGTGTCTCGATGCCAGAGGCCTGCAAAAGGCTTGCTAGTGATGCCAGGGACGGATGCACTGTTACAGGGGCTCCCGGAGAAGGCCGGAGCCAGCCTACGGCATTAAGAAGAAAGGGAGCCAATCCAGAATGACACAGGTAGCCCTCGTGGGAGACAACCACCAGGCGGCCCCGGCCATAGGAGGACGCAGCAATAAGCACCTGGCCCTTGTCATTCACCATCACGGGGAAGGCAGCCTCCCCAGTAAGAAGGAGCTCACTGGGAATGGGCCCTCTGGGGAGGTCCCAGCTCTTCACTCCATTCATGAGAGTCTCAAAAGCCGCAGCAGGAGATGTTGCCATGGTTTTGGCAATAGCTGCAGAGGAAGCAAAGGCCCAGGTTGTGATCAAAACAGATAGAAGACCAAGTTAAAAAATAAAACCAAACATCTGCCAGGTCTGGTAACTCATGCCTGTAATCCTAGCTACTAAGGAGGCTGAGATCTAAGCCTGGGCAGAAAAGACCATGAGACTCTTATCTCCAATTAACAAGCAAGAACCTGAAAGTGTAGCTATAGCTCAATGGGTAGAGTGCCAGCCTGGAGTGAAAAAGCCAAGTTAAGAGTATAAGGTCCTGAGTTCAAACTCAAGAAAGGACACATATACACACCGAAAAAACAATTCAGCAATTAAATATATTCACCCACAAAGCTATACCAGACTCCCCACTGCTAACCACTGCTCTAGCACTGGGAAACAGAGCCAGGAGCAAGACAGACAAGGAACCATGCTGTCATGACTCAGATACTACAGGAAGGGAAAGACAGTAAGTAGGTAGATAAAGAAAATGCAGCCATTAAAAACCACTGTGATGGAAATATAAAGATAAGATATGGAACAACTGGAGCACTACTTTAGATTGAGACCTTGGAAAGTCCTCTGTGGCAAAGTGGCATTGAGCTGAAGTAGAAATTCTGTAGAAAAGGCTCCCAGCAGGTGACTAGCAAGCCAAGGGGCAGGACTGGATTCAGCAGGGTGGGTAGTTCAGGGAAAGGCTCAAGTTGAGACTTGCCAGCTGACTTGGTGTTTTATTTCCTTGGATAGAAATGTCACTGACCTGTCACAAATGTGAGTTGTTGGAAATGTTCATCTCTTCCCCCATGGACTGGTCCCTGCTTTTCTCTGGCTGTGGCATTCTGCACTTTCTAGATACTTCTGAAAAAGTGTTTGTTCACTTAATATGCTGAAAACTGAGTTCATTACAGGCACAGGACAAACACTCCAACCTGTTCCTCAGCTGCCCCTTTGGGCTCCCCTGAGTGACATGGGCAGGGGGACATGGTGCTGTGGGGACCCTTGGCACTTCCTTCACCCACCTCTAAGGGTGGGTGACAGTGGTGACAGTGACATCGCAGATGGAGGGAGCCACAGACACATGGCCAGTGCTGTCCTGAATGCAGCTTACCAGCCCCTCCCATGCTCCAGGGGTCTTCCCCTGCTCCCCACCTGCCAGCCACATCCTCTTATTGGTCTCCTTTCCCTCCCTGTCTCATTCTGGCCACTTCCTCACTTGGCTTTCTGCCTCTCCTCCCAAATAAACCCCTTGCAGGCAAATCTCTGTATGAGGCTTTGCTCTGGAGGACAACTTAAACCAAGTCAGGTACCAGATTTAATCCCTCCCTGTCTCCCTTTCTTCGTCCCTCCCATTCCTGTGGGCAGTTACTTCATTCTGCCAGCCCTCTCCCTATGACGTGCCTATCCAGACTGAGCTAGGGTTAAGTCTCCAGGCTGCATTCCAAATTTCAGCCTCAGAAGGTGAGATCTGCAGAGCTCTCGGGCACATTTCGTTTGTAGGCCTCTAGGGTTATTTAGCAGCCCTCCCTGCGCCCCCACTCCACTTTCCTTCCTAAAGTCCCAGCGGACCCGGCGCCACGCAGTCTGCCCGCAATCCCCGTGGCGCTCACAGGCCTGCCCCTCCACCTCCCCTCCCTCCTTCTCTTCCACCGCGTTCCTACAATTTCTGGCTGGAAAGCTTGAGGTGTTCCCGCTCGGGGTTAAGTGGAGACGGATCCGGAAGCCGGAGTGCACGGCACCTCTGAGCAGATAAGCGAAGGAAACACACGAGAATGTCCCCAGCTGCGGGCCCCCGCGGACACGGGTGGACGGGCGGGCGTCCCGTCCGGACCCCAGGTGTGGGGGGGGACGGGGTGCGGGGCAGCCGGCGGCCTGCGGAACCCAGACCCCACAAACACCTCTGCGTCCGGGAGGGAACGGCCCCCAGCATCCTTCGGGCAGCTCGAGGGACCCAGGGCCCCCAGGGGCTGGACCACCCGCCCGCGACTCAGGAAACCTGAAAAACTCACTCCTGAGTGCTGGGATCCCCGCGGACTCGCGGTGCGGACAGGCGCTGCGGACGGCAGCGGAGCTTCCCGGGGGCGGGGCCTCGGCGGGGCGGGGTCTCCCCGGGGCGGGGCCTCGGCGGGCGGGGTCTCCCCGGGGCGGGGCCTCCAGGGGCGGAGCCTAAGTGAGCAGCTCTTCCAGAGGCAAGGTCTCAGTGGCGGGGTTTCGCGGGGCGGGGCTGCACGGGGCGGGGTTGTGCCGGGCGAAGCCTCTCAAGGACCTGGCCAACCAGGAGTGGATCTGTGGAGGGAGACTGCTGTGTCAGTAAACGTGGATAAGTAGTGGTTGCTTGGGGCTTTCTAGGAGAGCGGCTGCCTTGGGGTGGCTTCCAGCAGGGGGATAACTTCTCCGGAGAAGGGCGTGTTTTACATGGGGGCGTGGTCTCGCAGGCCTGCACTGGGCGTCACGGGGGAGTGGCATGTAGGAAAGGCCGCATTGGGCGTGGCTTAAGTGGGGGCGTGGCATCTCAGAAGGGCCACAGCGGGGCGTGGCTCAAACGGGGGCGTGGCGTCTCAGAAGGGCGGTGCTGGGGCGTGGCTCCGTGGGGGCGTGGCCTCCCGGAGGGCCGCATTGGGGCGTGGCTGTCGGAGGCTGAGGATGCCAGGGCTGACCGGAGTGGTCCCGCTGGGCGGCTGACTCGGGGTGGCGTGTCCGGAGGAGGGAGTGCGGCTGGAAGGGGGGCCATGCAGGGATTTGTGGTGGATCGGCCGCGCCCCAACCACTGCCTCCTTTCCGGAGGTTGCTCTCTTCCCGGGGCGGCCTTACCTGGGGCGGGACGGCGGCCGGCAGAGCGCCTCCTCCGGGGTCGCGGCCTGCCCGCTGTCGGGCAAGGCCTCGGCAAGTTGTCAGAAAATCTCCCACAAACCATATTCGGGGGAAACAGCCACCCCCCGCAACAACTGCGTGGCCCGCAGCCGCGCGTGGGGTGTGGCTCCTCCCGGCGGGTCCTCCCTGGGGTGCGGCTGGGCCACTGCCGCGTGGACGCCGCCGCGGCGCGCGCTCCCCCTGGCGGCCGCAGGCGGCCGTGCACCCTCCGGGCCGCGGGCCTTTCCCTTTCTGAAGGTGTCCCTCACCCAGGCCCACGTGTGCTAAGAAGGCCTTGAGACCTGGCCCAGGATCTCTGGAGTTTCGCCCAGGGTTGGACGTGGGTTTGAGCCACGAACACAGAGACTGCTCTGATTTTGTTTTTAAGTGGAGGCCCTCAGTCATACACTATGAGAGTCGCCTGGTGGTACGTTGTGGCTTGTGTGTTTTTCTTTGATACTAGGAATTTTAAAATTTGCCCCCTGGCCCTTTTACTTAATAATCAGCGCTATTTGTTTAATGAAATGGAATATATCAACATTGAGTACATGGATATTCACCATCGTCCTATTTTCTTGAAGGATTGCTGCCTTTATCAATAGATCATGACCTGCTGGAGCTCTTCTGGCTGATTTTTGGCCCGAAGTGAACATCGTCGGACTTGCTGGTTCTATGATTTCTGTGTTTTCCATTTTTGTCTGGCTTTGTCAGTGCAGTGTTTTCTGTGCATGGCAGACAATCACTGGATCTTCGTTTTTAATCTCAATCCAACTAGTCTAAACAACTTTACTTGAGGTATACAGACACTTACCTTGGGATGACTGTTGCATTTGTTGATTTCTGATTAACTGGTGTGCTGTTTGTTCTTTCTCTCCCATTCATCTTAGTTTTTTGTTTTACTGACTTGTTTGGTGATTTCCCAGTTCTCCTGTTTGTCTGATGAAACTTGTTCTTTCCAGAGCTCTCCTGTTTGCCACCGTCTTTCTTCCTCACGGTGTGTAGGGCTCCTGCAAGTATCCTTTGCAGTACTGGCTTGATGGGCAGTAGTTGCTTTAGTTTATGCTTGAATGGTCTTTCTCTATTGACTTGCTGAATAAAGACAGTGTTGACGGGCAATTATTTAACTGATCCTGAACATCTATCTTTGGTTTTACCTAGTTTTGACGAGTCTTTCTGCTATATTTTATTTTGGAATAATTGAATCTTTACTTAATATGTTTCCATATTTTAATGCAATTTTAATTTCTTTCCTTGCTGAATTTCCCATCTAGATTGCTACTTTATTTTTCTCCTGTTGATGTTCAAGTCTTAACTTTATTTTCGTACTTCATTCATCTGATTGGACTTGTCTGTCTATCTATCTATCTATCTTAATAGATGTCATCTGTGGGCAGGGGTGAGTGGAAGGCGTTATGCTGTGAGGTTGCTCAGTGGGAGATACACATGAGAAAGATGACCAGAGTTCATCATCATGGCCATGTGTTGACAGGACTACCTAGGAGACATTTAAGCCAGATTTTGAGGGTTGTCATGGGCCTTACTGAGGAGTACAGATTGAATCCAACAGTCTTTATTTAAGAAAAAGCACAGAGTAAACATCATAGTTGCCTCTTCAGCATCTATTCCCTATCCTACCTCTCTTCTTTCTAAACCAAATCCTAGTTTTGTGTGGAGAGTCAACCTCTCCCTTAAGAAGTTTGGGAGAAAATGAAGCTCTTTCAAGTTGTAAAGCTAAGTAGATATATATAAGCTTCTGTCAAACAAACATATCCTTTGCATTGCCATGAGGGGCTTTTCCTGGGTTATTCATAACTATATAAGCAATATTATACTTAATTATCCAGCACACTAAAGGCATCTACAGAAACAGTTATTGCTACCAGGGCATACTGTTTAATGTTTGGGGGTCAAATTCTGTTCAAGTGTCTGTGCTGTCATTTCAGTTTACCACTAAAGCGAGCTCAGGGACTTCTTCCTACAAATGCTTTTCAGTTGTGAGCTATCATGAATTACTCTTTGGATTCCTTCAGTTATTTTTAGTCGTGACTTTAACTTAATGTGTTCCTGTAGATTCTTTCCCTTCAGGGCATTAAGAATGTGGAAAGGATTAGCCTCATTCTAATTTAGGAACAGAGATGTCGGGTCCACCTATGTCCATTTCCTGACCTGAGTGACTGGGGAGGTTTACAGAGTCACTCTTTAAGATGATCCGCAGCAGGTGTCCACAGCTGCTTTAAGAAGAAGTAATGTGGTGGCCACAAAAGTGCTGCTCTCACATTTCCAACTGCGGATCTATGCGTGTCAGGTGGCCCCAGCTGGTGGGGTCTGGAATCCTTGGTGTCCAGGCCATGCTGCCCAAGGGCTTTTCCCAGCCAGTGATGAAGGTTGATGGTGAGGAGACGGAGGACTCTGTGGATGGATACTCTGGGCTCAAGAACTCCTCAGAGGCCTTCACGAGACTCCCCGAGACTCGCACTGCAGTGTAAGCTTTTCTTTCCTCTTCTCTCTTTCCCAAGGTTAAATCTACACCAAAGTCTGGTGCTGCTCCCAACCTCCGGCAGTTCTCTCTCCATATTCTATCACATCATAAGCCTCATGCATATCAGATCCTGTCTTGGTTTCTGCCTCTTGGAGAATCCAAGAAGAACACAACAATTTTTATCATTATAATCCTCACATAACTCTCCAGTGTGTTTATTAAACTGGTGTCATGGGGGGAATAAAGGAAAAGTTAAGATTATTTATGAAAGACTTAACCGATGACATGTTTCATTATTTAGTATGTTTATAAGGATGCTTAAATTATAGCACAGTTTCTCTCCAAGAGTAAATTTCTGCCTGCTTTTTCATCAACAGCAACGAAGCTGATGTTGGCTTCTCTTGATGGGGGCAGGTTCAAGCTCAGAGTTATAAAGTATTTGATCCTCCTCTGGTTTCATTTTTGAAAGTAAGCTAAACATACCTTTTTGTGTATCAGTCCTGGGGCTTGATCTCAGGGCCTGGGCCTTTACATTTGTGCTCAAGGCTAGTGCTCTATCACTTTGTGCCACAAGGCCATTTCTGGCTTTGGGGCAGTTATTTGGAGAGAAGACTCTCATAGACTTTTCTGCTCAGGCTGGCTTTGAATGACAATCCTAAGATCTCAGCCTCGTGAGTAGTAGCCAGGATTACAGGTGTGAGCCACTGACACCAGATAAACTTAACATTTTTATGTGCTTTGTATCACAGATGTCTGGAACCAATAGTGCCATGACAGAGGGTGTCTTGAAGCAAATCAGTGTCCCTAAGATAGCTATGATGAAATTCCTTCCTCCACTAAGGGACCAGGGGAGGGGAGTGTCTTTTTACCTTATCCCCCCCCCAATACTGTACATCCAATAGGATTTATGCCAAAAGTCATTCTTAACATTACATCTGTGAGCCACCTGCCTACCTCTTTTTTTAATAATTAATTTCCTATGAAGAGCTGAGGTTTAAATCTGCCCCAGCTAGTGAGAACAACAAATAATAAGCTCATATGGTTTGTTATCTTTTGATTAATTATTAAAAGTCCTAATGAAGGCCTATTATTTCCTTTGCCAAAGAGGGTCACTAAGCTATGAAGACAGGGAGTATAAAAACAGGAACTCAATTGCAAGAAAGAAAAAAAAATTGAATACTTATCTTGGGTTTCAGTTCACCTAACAACATATTTATGATTTCTTTGTTGCTTTGTATATCCCTCCCCCACGGTATAACCCCTGCTTTCATTGTATTTGATGTTGGTATAATTTGTGGAGGGGAAGAGCAAAAACAAACCGTTTAAATAGGGATACAGGTGGACCCATTGCAACAATGAGATGTACAAGTCGTTATGTTGAAAAGCAAACAACTTTGGCCGGGTGGGGTGGGGGTGTGGAGGGGAGATGGGAAGGGATAGGAAGGGGAAACAAAGGAGGAGGCAATGCTTGATAAGAAATGTACTCATTACCTTGCCCATGTAATTGTAACCCCTCTGTATGGTATTTTCACAATAAAAAATTAAAAAAAAAACCCAGAAACTCAGTGTCTGAAAAAACTTAACACTGGAGTTGGTGCCTCGACTTACTACCATTAGTGCAGACTAAAGTGAATTAGCACCACTTTCCAGGTTCTTGGCTCTCATTGAAGGCACAGACCCTTCAAACAGCCCTGGGCATGGATGTCACCTGTAGAATGTTCCTGGGCCCTGGGGCTACAAGTGCTGTTGGGGAGGAGAGGGGCCTCTGTCCTGGGGCCTCTTCCTCACCCCTCTCCTTGCCCCGCCCCTTCCTAGAAGGAATTTTGCATTTGTATCTTTGATCATCTCATCCTCAAATAATAAGCATGTGTCCCACAAGTTCTATCTTACAGTCTCAATTTAATTCTTGGAATACACTCAGACTTGGAAGGCTCATAAATAATTTTTGGCAATCTCTAAAGAGGAATCTTTTATCAAAATGTCAGCAGTTCACGTGTTTTTAAATTTGAGTTTCTGTACATTTCAAATGAACAGAAGTAACTTATTTTGTGTTTTGTTGGTTGTGGGGCTTGAAACTCAGGTCCCGGGTGCTGTCCCTGAACTCTTCTTGCTCAAGGCTAAGCATTCTATCACTTGGAGCCAGAGCTCTATTTCCAGTTTCCTGGTGGTTCATTGGAGATGAGAGTCTCACAGACTTTCCTGCCCAGGTTGGCTTGTAACCCTAATTTTCAGATCGCAGCCTCCTGAGTACCTAGGATGACAGGCGTGAGCCCCTGGCACCTGGCCTAGGAGTAACTTTTTAATGGCTCTCAGGTGCACATATTGGTATTGACATAAACTGTTTCCTGATACTCTCATCAGTGATCACTGTATAGCTTATTTCTTCCTATCTTTATATTCTACCTTTTGTCCCACCTCTGTTTCCACCTGTTTATCTCTCATGTATTCAATTTATTCCTAAAGTAATGACTAGCTATGAAACCAACCACCTATCCAAAGACTAGAACAACTAAAGAATTGCTTCTCCACAGCATTAAATACATGAGTCCAAATGATTTACACATGGAAGTGTGTGCATGAGTTCATATATGCAAGTGTGTATATATGTATGTGCATACGTGTGTGTGTGTGTGTGTGTGTTGAGAAGAAATGTCTCTGGGAAGTGGAAGATCACCTTCTACTTCTTATTGAACCCCCCCCCCCGACCCAATGAGATGATTCAAATATTTTTTTTTTTCCAGAAGGAAGTCCTAGGTTTTACAAGGAATAGAAAAGCCACTCTAGCCTAAACTATTAGTCTATTAGCCTGTAAGGACACTACCATACAGGAAATGAGGTTGTGGCCTTGGGGGTAGAGTGCTGATATACTTAGACCCTAAGTATATATACAAAGTATATATTATATACTATATATATACTGATATACTTAGACACTATATATACACTTAAGTGTATATGCTTAGTATATATATATATATTATGTATATTACATACATACTTAGTGTCTAAGTATATCAGTGACTGACCCATGAAGAAAGAGTACATAAGATTTCTAAAAAATACTGCCTCAGAATTATTTCCTGTAAAGCTAATACTCACCAGAGAGCTGCAGATAACCCTGTGTTCAACAACACTGGAAAGTAAATACACGGTGTATTTTACTTCCCCTTTACCAGGGTTCAGGGTGCAGGGTGGTGTGGTAGGAGACAGAAAAGAACTTGGGTTATTTCTATGACAATAACAATCTAGGAACTGTTCTCTGTGAGGGCAAGTCCTTATTCCAGAATTGAAGGATGCAGGGCACATAGAGGAGATGCCAGTTCAGGCAAGGAAAGCCTTTGTTATAAATACTTATTTCCAACCAGAGATGTTCATGAAAATGGAGAAGGAAGAGATGCTAAAAAAGCAGGGCGTAAGAAGCTTGGGAGGCTGAAGATTTCCATCGGATAGGTGACTGGTTTTTCATGTGTAGGGGAACAGCTGTAAGCAGATGAGCAAGTACAGGGAGGTGGCAAAGAAGATAGAAAAGGGACTGACAGATGGGCAGAAGTCCTCAGATGCCAGCTGGTATCATGAGAGACTAAAACCTGAAGAGTGACTAAATGGACAAGAGCGCAGAAGAGATTGTAGTCTCATACGGTTCTTCTTGAAATGTTTCCCAAAATAAGAGGCAGTAGAGCATGATTCCCAGCTAGAACACTAGCTGTGGTATCCTTCAGGGAAGGCCCTCGTGAGCATCCCTTCACTCACCTGTTTAATCAGACAGTGTGCAAGCAGCACAAGTCTTTCACTTTTCCAGTAACATCTATAGAAACATGAGAGAAGTATGATTGAATCATTGCCAGGTATTTCATGTGGCTAAAACTGAAGAATTAGGTTATATGCTGAGTTACATGTCAGGGAAATCCACATATTTTGATGGTGGCTCATGTGTGTCATCCTAGCTACTCAGGAGGCTGAGATCTGAGGACTGTAGTTCAAAGCCAGCCCAGGCAGAAAGTCTGTGAGACTCTATCTCCAATTCATCACCAAAAAAACCAGAAGCGGAACTGTGGCTCAAGTGGTAGAGCATCCGCCTTGTACAAAAGAACTAAGTATAGCACTCAGACCCTGAGTTCAAGCCCTAGTACCGGCTCAACAGATAGTTAACTTGAAGGTTTTATAAGGCAAAGCAAGGATTTTGGTCCTGTTATATCTTAAGTCAATATGAAGCCACTGAAGAATTTTTATTTGAGTTTATTAGAAACATTTTCAAAGTCACACATGCACAAGGTACAAAATTAAATAGTACAGAAGGAGTTGAAATGAAAATCAGTTTTCCTTGCCAGTCTTCCTTACTCCCACGCCCTAGATGCTTTTCACAATTATCTATTTCTGAATCTTCTGGCCACTAACTTCCTACATTTAAATAACGTTTCAACGATAAGTTTCTTGATTTATGGACTTTAGAACAATTTTTAATCTTTAATAATTCCTCATTACAAAAGATAAGGATTTTAACTTACATATCTCCCATTTTCCTTTGCCCATTCTTCCAATGTATGAGAGACATGTCTGTTTACTGTTTCTATTGGTTTAATGTATAGCATGGGTTGATATACCTTTATTTCCTCCCCATTTTGCATACATACGTGATATCCTACTCTTCCTTCCACTCCTCTTCCCCTCTCCCACTAAATCTCAACCTCTTTCTGCTTTCTTTCTACTCAGAATATCAGCATCACTTTCAACTTCAATTCAGAATCAGAAAGTAAGCCTTCCATGCTTTGTTGACAGATCAGAACATGGATGACAAATACACAGTTATTACCATTATTTTGGCTATGAAAATGGTTTTCACTGGGAGACAAGCAAAAGTCAAGATATTTTCTCTCATACACACCCAACGCCATACCTGTACCTTGGGAAAGGAAATGTACCTACCGCCAAAGTCAACACGACTCTCTTCTTAGACTCATGGGTAAGCCAAGTCAGGTACTCACTTTTTTTTTTCTTCATCATTGAGCCTTGGATTCTTGACACCTTTCTGATTTGTCTATCTTTCTGTTGATTAAAGAATGTGTGTCTTTTATTTTCAATCATCCCAGTGTCTCATGGATACTATGGCACAGAATGCATATTTTTCAGAGCCCGAGATGAGACTGTGCTCTCATACAAAATGGTACTGCTGGGCAATTGTAACTCTACAGTCAGAAATCCTTGGGAATAACCATCACTCTGGACTCAGGCATTCTTTTGGAACAACCACTGCTCTAGAACAAGATAACATGGGAGAGGCCTATTGTTTTCTATATCCTATTTCCTCTTTTGTGGTTTCCATCTTCATTTCTCTGGAGAACTTTCTCAAGGTACTTCCACAGTAAAGGTCCTAAGGAAGGTCTTTAGACCATTTACTGAGGAACTAAACTGAAAACTTTACTGAAAATGTGCTTGCCAGAAAATGCCTTTGGCCTTCGTCTTGAAAGCCTGCCTTCCATGCAATCCTGGGTACTGAAATTTTCCAGAAGCTATGCGAACACACTGATCCATTGTCCTACAGCATCAGTGCTGCTGTTGAAAATTCTGCTGTGGTCTATTTCTCATCTCTGCTTTGGTGAACTAATTATGATGACCTAATTTTCCCCTTTGGCCACTTTAACATCTTCCCTCTTTCTTTAGTATTCCAAAATTTCTTCAGATTGTGTCTAGGTGTATAGGCTGTTTTGGTCTGTTAGTCTGGAGACTTAGTTTTTTCAGTTCAATTATTTTCCTTTTTATTTCTTTCTCCATGTTTTCTAGGGAACCTAATGATTACATATAATTGGTTGTCTATGTCTCTTCCTTTCCTCATATTTTCTGTCTATATGTCTTTTTTGCTGTGAATCTAGGGAGATTTCTTTCATTTCACTTTTCAGCCTGTCTACCAAATGAATACTTTTGGCAGTTCTATTTTACCTACAAAGGATTTTTGTTATTCTGAGTTTTCTCTTTTTTTTTTCTGGTAGTAAAATCTCTCTAAAGATAGACAGAATTTTATGTCATACTTTTCCCCTCATTGACTTAATTTCCTCTAGTGTTGGTAGTAATTTTCAAACCTTTAATTCTACATGGTTATTTTCCTTATACTTCTCCCTTCTCTTCCCTCCTCACCTCCATGTTTGGGAATCCCTAGATGAAAATTCACACTGAAGCTTAAATGTGAAGTACTGACTTCTCAGGAATTGGTATGGGTTTCTTCTGTGATTCTGTGTTTGGATCTGTTTCAACAGCAAGTTTCTTCTGTAACTGGACACTTCACTGTCGGTCTCAACTCTCAGTAGAGAGTTGGGGAATAGGCTAGGGGACCACTCATTTCCACAGAACGAATTTTATTTGCAGCACCAACTCTTACCTCTCCTTAGGCAGTTTATGCAACTCCTTTATACATACAACCACAATGACAATGAATTTTAAACTGTTACCAAGAATAGGTTGCCTGTGTTTTGTGCACAAGGGTTGGAGTAGAATAGGATAGGGAACAAATTTACAACTGGTACAATTCTTTTGTAAATAGACATTTTCAATGTTCAAGTCTCTTTGGGGTTATGATGTTCAGACCAGCGTATATTCTGTCTGAAAGGTACCTTCGTTCCATGCATTACCATACTTCCTCCTGTTTTTTTCTCTCTTCTGGACAAGTGTTGAGATCTTCTCCAATCAAATGCCTTCTGTTTCCTTTGCTGAGATTCAATTCTCTTTTTGTTTTTCTTGGACTTCAATTTCAGTGGGGCCTAGGGAAGGAGGGAAGGTAAACTTACATGTTTAGTCCATCATCTTAAATTGGAAGTTCCATTGGAGGCTTTTACACAGGGGTGTAACATAGATAACTTTGCTTTTTTTTTTTATTTTAAAGGATTCCCAGGATTTACTGCTGAGAATGGATTAAGCAGGGGGCAGGGGTGGATAAAACTGAATTCTGAAAGGCTGAGGATCTAATTTCCTCCCTGAGAACATGCAATATATAGGACCTAGGGGGAGGGTGTCAGGCACTTACCAAAATAATCCATCACTCAAAATCGAATAAACTAGAGGATTTTTTTTTCAGGGCACTCTGGAGAAAATGACTAAAACCTGAATGGCTCAGAACCTAAAAGACTTGTCTGATGGAAAGGGTTCGCCTTAAGTGTTGCTTATTTGGAAACATCTTTCATTCTTCCTTTGGGCTGGCATTTAGTGTAAGCAAAGGATTTTTTGCTTTGCTAAAATTAGATGAGGAGTAAATATAAGGAGCCAAAAACTCTGGCATGTTATAGCATAAAGGTCCTTTTGTTTGCCGACTGGTTTCTGTATTTAAGCATGTATCTGTTCATTTGAAGCACTGTAATTATTTGTATCTGGTCTGGAACCAGGATGCCTGGGTTCAACTCACAGATCCTCCACTTATTAGCAATATAGCCTTATATAATTTGCTGCAAACTCAGTTCTCCCATTCTAAAAGTGGCAGTGGTAATGGTTTCTATCTCCATGAAATTATTGTGAAGATTAAATGAAACAATGTACACAAAGGAAGACTCAATATCTGGCACATACTCAACACTTCATAATTAATGGCAATTCAATGTTGAGTGAATATTCAACACCTAAGTTCAAGGAATCTAAACAACAGATGTTTATGAAATAAGGGGACATAATTACAGAACTCAGAAATGACATGATGAAGAAATCCCCTCCCTTCCCCTAAACACAAAAACTTTATGTAGTTCAAATCTTAATGTCTACAGATTCTCCAAATTACTAATTAAGCAAATAAAAATGGTGTGTTAATGTAAATAAAGAAGTGATCTAATAAAAAAAAAACAGCTGGATGCCTGCAAACTCAATCCTAGAGCACAATTCTAGTTAAAACTGTGAAGAAAAGATAGCAGGACACTGGAACATCTTTGAATGTTTGGCAACTAGATAAATTTGGGTTATTTCTATTTTGTTCCAAAAGTAAGATGTGTGTGGCAAGTGACTTTTGACAGAGACTGTGTTCTGAATGTGTGTCACTATGAAATCTGAACACCATTACGAAGAAGTTGGATGTTTACAGTTTGTGAAGGATGAATAGCATTGAGGAATTGTTCTGGTTTTTACACAGACTTCCACTGTGGATTTAAAGAAGGAATTTGGCCCCAAAGAAACCAAACCTAATGAACTTTTGTTTTTGTTTCTTGGCAGTTTTTACAATGTGGTTTTTGTTTCGTTTTATAGCTAACTAGGGCCAAAGCGATAGGTAGCTTATGCCTATGACCCTAGAACTTGGAAAGAAGAATACAGCTTGAGGTCAGAGATACATAGCAAGGACCTGTTTCAACCAAGCCAACCAAAAACCTACTCTAAATTTAATGTCTTTAGACTCATAGAGCAACATACCAGAATCCTTGCAGGGTGCGGTATAAAATGAGTGGGATAGAAAACAACTATGAACTGTACATTTCAACTTATATTTCAGTTTTGAACTGTCTATTTAAAAATATATTTCAGAAATGATTTTTAATGTTTAGACTGTGAAGAAATGACAGGTGTTTGAGGAGACAGATATGTTTTACAGAATGCATAAACATATCAAACATCACATAATATCTAGCACATTAGCATGACGTGTGTGTGTGTGTGTGTGTGTGTGTGTGTGCAGGCCTGGGCACTGTCCTTGGGGTGTTTTTTCTCAGGGCTAGTGTTCTATCATTTGAGCCACAGCTCCACTTTTGGTCTTTTTTGTGGCTAACGAGAGATAATTTTTATATTTCCATATATCAGTTTAAAGAAATGAAAAATTATGTATTTATGTGAAAATTCCATGTAAAAGTTAAGTCTAGCTCTAAAATGATATTGAGCTAATTAGATAAAAATGCTAACCAAGATTTCCCCTCTATTCTTACTAATTTTGAGGTGCTGTTCTAGTTACCCTTTCTGTTGTACACAATTGAACCCTCACAATAATCCTGTGAAGCAGATTCCATTTTATAGAATGAGGAAACTGAGTCACAGAGAAGTGAAAGGATTTTTCAGAGCCATACGATTAATAAGTGAAAGACCCAGGACTTGAACTCTAGGATTACACTAGTAGAAATGAGGATCTTAATTGCAAAGCTATGGAAAGCAGTAGATTCCCCATTTTGTGGGGCAGCATGAAATCAAACAACCCCTTAAGATAGTATGCACTATAGATAGTATGCACTGTATATATAGTTCATCCAAGTCTTTCAATTCATCCACCTGAATTTTCATGGAGATTCCTGTGAGACCCATTTCACACACAAGGAAATGTACACTCTTTAAGTGACTTTCCCAAAAGCTAGGATCTAGGTTCTTCCCACTATACCAGGCTGCTTTTCAAGAGCTTTGTAAACTTACAAAATGGGTGAGTCATCTGGGAGCTGTCTGGATAACAAAATAAATTTGTCTTAAAGGGGAGATCTATGGTGATATTTTTGACCAGCAAGTAGAAGCCCAGAGAGAATCCTCAGAATGCCAAGCTAAGAACCACCCTCTAGCTACAATCTGGGAAGAGGGACCAAAGGCCAATAAATCTAGAAACAGGTGCCCAAGCTCTCAGAATGGGGTCAATATGGGACGGGAAGGAATCTGACCACTAAGAGTAAAAGAGCAGGGCTCATGAACCATCAGAAGGCCTTGTTCCTGAAGAATTCTTACCGGTGTCTTGCTGTGTTCTTAACCCACTTCCTAGAGACAGAAGTTGGTCATAAGACACAGGGGCACTGATCTAGGAAGGCAAGGCCAGGACCCTCGTGGACAGAGGTAGGGGAGTAAATCCCCACCTCTGCTACCTCCCCAAACCTCTCTACCTGCCACCTCGATGGGCACTCCTTACATCTGTGTGAGGAGGTACAATTTCATAATATTTTCCTTCCATTCAGGCAGATAGGCCAGGCTGGTAGCCACTTCCTTCTGGATGGGCCAGGCCCAGGCCTCAAAGAACGGAGCCAGATTCTTCTGTACTTGGTGGGAGAACATCTTGACCCACAGATTCATTTTGTCCACATTATCTGTGGGCAAGTTGGTCTGGTTTCTATACTCAGTGAAGAGACGGATGAATGGCTCCCAACCAAAGGCCTCCTGAAGCTAGAAAGAGAGGGGAGAAGTAAGTGAGACATCCAATTCACAAAGACAGCAAATACAAAGTCGAGGTATTGAACACAGTAACCATTAGCTTCCTATCCATCACTGGCCTCTCTCTGTTTTGCATCCTGGACTCAGAGGCATGCAAAATTTTAAATACGGTCTTGGGGCTGGCACGGTGCATGGCACAAAGCAGACACCATCGGTGACGGTTATAGCAATAATTGTAATGATCAGCATCAGTATTTTCTACCCATATCGTTCATCTTTCTCGTGATTGTGAAGATAGTGGTGGGATAGTACACGAGGGCGGAAGTAGAACCGCCCTCATTAACTTTCATAGTTGTGACGTTAAACCCCAATAACTGGAAGATTCCCACCCCTATCTTGGTGTAATGCGAAGCTCATGAATTAGAGCTCTGCATTAATGCACAAGGCTAATAAAATGGCCTTTGGAAGAAAAAGTTAGTTAGAAGCAGAGTAAGTTAGAAGCAGAAGAGTTAGTTAGAAGCAGAAAATGATAGACAGTCTAGCTAGCCAGAACGAAAAATTAAATAACAATTTTAGAAAGAGGTAGGCTCCCCGAAGCCACGGAAAGAGCTCATGTTAGTCAGGGTGACAGAACTTTCAAGTCGAGAGGCACTTGGACAGTCTCTTTTGGATGAGGAATGTTTGTTCCTGGGGGCAAAGCAACGCCAACACTAAGGTGAAAGCAGGGGCTCCCTGGCCATTTTACATCCTTCTCACAGCAGAGAGAATCGACAGAGAAATACTCTGGCAGGTGGAAACACCAGAATAGAACATCCTGGCCTTAAGCTGAGACTATAGTGATCCAGGCCTCGGAGCTGATCCAGGCCTCTGGGACAGAGAACTGGGGCATCGAACAACAAGCCAACCTCCAGGCACAGGACAGCGAGGAATCTTGGACTGCCTACAAGAGGTGGAACTGATATACTCCTCTAAGGAAGAAACAGGTCATAACCTATATATAGTGTGTGTGTGTGTGAGGAAGGTTGTTCAATAGCTACTGAGTAGGAGCATTTGGCTTTAACTACAGGTATGGTTGGCTTTTAAAGCCAGTGAGAGTAAGCGTATTAATAGTATTCTATTTGGCCCTGCAAATAGCTTTACAGTTCCTCAGCGCTTTCTCTGGTACCGAGGTGTGATGGTAGGTCTTTTTGGTCACTAGAGTTATCATCTCATCCAACATGCGGTCCCCACAGCAAGGAGCCTCATTGCCCTTGATTCTTGCCCAGTACCTGCAAATATGTTTCCAGTGCAGTCCATGCATTCCAGTTTTTCACATTAGGCCCCTTGCCCAGGTAGATTCGAACTCTCTTCTCCCGCACAGGGGGCCACAGGGCAATGTTAGCACGGCTCCGTGGAATGCCCAGGACCGTTTCGTGTACATAGACACACCACAGGTTGCAGGTGGCCTCAGTGGTGTGCGGGGGGAACTCCCACTCCTGCCGCTGCTGGTTGCGGCCCAGCTCGTGCACCGGGCCCCACAGCCCCTTGGTTCTGATGAGCTTCTCATTGATGAGCTCCTGCACTGACTCCAGGTGGCACATGATGGGGTACCCTGCGTGCATCCAGCCTGGAAAGGCAGGGGGAGGGGGAGAGGAGAGGGTCATGGCTGAACTGCTCATCTCATGAAATACTTCTCTGAACCATTTCCCTTCCCAAATACCCAGTAGCTACAGACAGCATTCAGCAACTTCCATGCTCCAAAAGGGCAATCAATCCAAACCCAAATCTTTCCAGAATTCCTTTTCTCTTTCTTTGAGATAGCATCTTGTGACATAACCCAAGTTTTCTGGAACTCATTCTATAGTCCAAGGCTGGCCTCGAACTCCTGATCTTCCCACCTCAGCCAGTTCTGGGGCTTCCATTCCTACGCTCATCCTGCAGTAGTGTCTCCAGCTGCCTTCCGACTTGAAGCGGGACAGCAGAGGCAGGAGGAGGCAGGGTGCAGATGGCCATTCAGGGCGGCATTGGAGGTTTTCGTTTTGATGATGGCACCTTATCCATATAAGCCCACGCTGTTACATCATCTTCTCAAAATTCAGCTCTATGAGCAGTCTCACAGACTGTTCATTATTACATGTGGAGTTGTTCAGGTTGACACTGAATAGTAATGATGCATGCAAGCCAAGAAAACCTTCATTGGTTCCTTAAGGCTTGTACACCCTTCACCCGTATTTTTTAGCCTCCCTGACCCAAAGGCAAAGAGCTCAAGATTCAGTGTCTTCTAACTCTGAGCTAGGTCCAGGTCCTCCACTTTACCCCCACGGGATACCTTGAAGGCTTGGGTGACATCTCTGGAGGCCTCTGACAGCTTACAACATGTGACCTCTACTATGATTTCGGATATTAATTTTTCCTTTAAACGTTTTATTTATGATTATTTAATTTTAATTAATTGCTTCTATTAATTCATCCTTTAATTATCTACACCTTGCTAGCAGAACACTCCTACCCCCCTGGCTACCTGCTGTGGAGCCAAGGAAGGTACTACGGACAGGGATTTGCACCCACCGACGGAGATCTGCACGTCGGCCACGATTCTCTGAGGCAGACGCAGCGGGAAGGGCTCTGCTCCCAGCCGAGCCACAGCCTGCATCACCTCGTCCCAGAGGCGGAGCAGTGGCTCGGGGTTCTCCAGGGCACGCAGGTTGGCAGTTGGCACTGTCAGGATGATGTTGTCTGTAGCCAGCTCACCCCAGGGACCTGGGTGCTCTTGGATACGCCTCTTCCACTCTTCCTGGGATGTCTCTCCTAGAAAAGAGGCCATGGGGCTTGAACACACTTTACCACATTCTTTTTTGTTTTTGGTTGGTCATGGGGCTTGAACTCGGGGTCTGGGCACTGACCCTGAGCTCTTCAATCAAGGTGAACGCTTGCTTTTCTGCTGGTTAACTGGAGATAAGAGTCTCATGACTTTCCTGCCCAGGCTGGCTTTGAACTGTGATCCTCAGATCTCAGCTTCCTGAGTAGCTAGGATGACAGGCGTGAGCCACTGATGCCCGGCTTCTTTACCACATCCTTTAAGTTCAAATATACAACCTGGGCTCCAGGAGAACACCCAGGTCATGAATAGCCACATCCCCTCTTCTTTCCATCCTTCTGATATCCCTATTGGATGGATACATACATCTATCTATCTATCTACACCCATGTATCTATATATACACATACATATACATATACACTTGTATCTATGTATGTATATATACATGAAGATAAACACATATATACAAACATATGCATATACACATATTCATGTTTTGTGGCACTGGTGATTGGACTTAGGGCCTCTACCACTTTGGGCCATGTCCCCAATCCTTTTGCTTTTTTGTTTTTCAGATAAGGTCTCATGCTTTTGCCCCATCTGGCCTGAAAACATGATCAGGCATGTGCCACGACGTTCAGTCTTTTCTTCTTGGCCCCAGTGCTACATCTGAGGAAGCCACCCTCCTGTCTCCACCAGTTTACATTTTTCTCTAAACAGTCCCAGTGAATCTAACATTCCCAGCTCTTCCCCACAGCTTTCACTCACCCAGTTTGTAATATGGAGCATGTACAGCCCCCTTAATGGTGATGGGCACAGAACCCAGTTTGCTGCTCTGAGGCACGATGATGTACAGCAGGCCACCCCAGAGACAGGTGATTGATTTTGTAGGCTTGTCCAGGCAGCACCGGTTAATCACGAGTGGGCCTCGGAACAGCTTGCTGGCTCTGGTCAGGTCATCTGTGTGGCAGCCAATCTGTATCTGGAAGAGAAATCCCCCTCAGAGTCACCACAGGGTATGGGGGGGGGGAAATAAAGCGAGGGGGCGGGGAGAAGGAAGCCCAGGAAGCAGGGGCTTGGAAGGGTCATTAGGCCATGACATCATGACATCATGGATGAGACCTGTGAGAGAATGTGAAATAAACAGGAATTGTGGCATTCCTCAAGGTCATAGAGTCTCCCAGAGAGTCACACGGCTCCACAACGGGTCATCTGAGATGTGGGCATGGTGCTCTGAGGTATGATACAACCCTAAAGGCTCATTCTGAGAACCAGTGACTTTGTGTCAGACAGAATCCTAGGTTGCTTGTTCCACTGTGGTGATCCTGGCACTGGAAGGGGGCAGAGGCGGCCCTGAACTAGGCTAATCAGGCACGAGGCAGTGTGATCCAGATGATAGAGCAGAGAGTGGATTTAATTCCTCACCTTCTCAAGGCCTTCTTTCTGGAGAAGGGAGAAGGACTCCTGTATTAGGTAGTCTGGGACTGTTTTCCTCAAGTTTAAGTTAAATAAATGGCAGAAATGATGCGAAACAGGGCACAGCATTGGCCCTTACCTTTACAATGGCCCCACTGTTGGGGGACAGAACAGGATGGCAGATGAATTTTGCAAATAGGGTGTGCATGTGTGGAAGTGGACATGAACAATTAAGAAATGGTCCTGAATGTGGTGAAGAACAGACATCAGTCAGGGAGGCTCTTGTGCTACAATGGGAAGTGTTCCTGAAGAGGAAAAGTGAGCTAAGATGAATCTCCATAGAAGAATAGCGGACCTTCCTTTTGCTATCTCTCTTTTTTATTTTGGGGGGGGGTCCAGTAGTGGGGCCTGAATTCTGGGCCTGGGCGCTGTCCCTCAGCTCTTCAGCTCAAGGCTAGTACTCTACCACTTGAGCCACAGCACCACTTCTGGCTCTTTTCTTTTTGCTTATGTGGTGCTAAGGAATCGAACCCAGGGCCTCATGCATGCAAGGCATGCGCTCTACCACTGAGCCACCTTCCCAGCCCCCTTTTGCTATCTCTCTTAGCCCTTGACTCTGTAATGTAAGTTAAAAGCATAATGCTGAAGAGGATGAAAGTGGTTTGAGTTCTGGGCTCTGACATGTATCAGCTCTATTCATCTTGCTTTTCTGGAAGGTAGTTGTCTCTTCCTTAATAAGGGTAACAATACCTGCCTTGTATTGCCCATGGGGTTGGATGAGGACAAAGTAAGATGCTAAGTGGGAAGGAGAGAGCACTGGGATTTTCCCTTCCCAGTCTCTTCGTGGGAGAGGGGTGTGGCCTCACCTTCAGATCAGCAGAGGCAGCGGCTTCGGGCAATGAGACTTCTATAATTTGTCTTCCAGGTATGTAGAGACCCGTGCTCATCCAGCAGTATCGGGTGCCTGCCCAAAGCACAGGAAGGACAGACTTTATAACGCCCCTATGTAACATCTACAGCCCTTCCTGAGGACTGCAAACCTCTTCCCATCCACGCTGCCCTGCTTGATCTCTTCTAAGAGCACCCACAGCCCCAGCCCTTGCTCTCTTGAAAGTGCACAGCCAAGGACAGCCAGGGGCTTTCTGGTAGTCACATCCTCTCCCCAGAGCTTCTCCCGACCTTGAGCTCAGGCCCTCCTTCCATACCTGGATTGGTGCAGTTGACCTCCACGGTGATGGGAGCTTCTGAGGGGCGCATGTAGGCGCTGCTGTAGATGTCTTCAATTTCTGGGACGAGCAGCGAGAGGTCACTTCCAGAGTGGGCCAGACCTGTGGCCAGGGAGAGCATGGCCCCTCGGCAACAGTCATTGATCACAGGGTTCTCTCGGGTGGCCACGGGGAGCCGATAGCGGCTCAGCAGCTTCCTCAGGAGCCGGTGCACTGACATGTAGGCAGGGATCTCTTCTGCGGGGATCTGGAGGAATGCCGCGCCGTCGGGGCCCAGCTTCGCCAGCCAGCCTTTCTCCACATTCCCTCTCTTTCTGCCCATTATAACCTGGAACTCAGCCAGGGTGGAGCGGAAGTGGTAGGTCCTTATCCCTGCTTTAGGGGTACGGAAGGGGCCCGGGTTGAGGCTTTGGCTTGTAATGCTGATGCCAAAGGGGTTGAGGAGCAAATTTCCTGGGAATCGAGCCAGGGGGGACACCCCTGGGTTTTTGAAGGCCCACCACCAGGCCTGGGCACCAACGAAGAGCCCTCCACCCTCTGCCACAAACTCCTGCAGCTCCTTGACCCCGATATCACTCATAGGTTCAAAGCAATAGACACTGGCATCGCTGGTTAGATTGGGCTCGATGCTGGTGTCTATGCCCCCTACGGCTAGCAGACCGCTCAGTGTTCTCAGCTCTGTCTGCACTACAATCTTGCCTCTGCGGCCCCCGTCCAGCCAGCGCACAGCATTGAGCAGAAAGGGGCCTAGCTTCCCCACCGTGAATAGAACCTTATGACCAGTCACCACCACCCGGCCCCGGCCATAGCGGGCAGCCGCTATCACACAGCCGTGGTAGGAATCTAACCCCAGAGGAAAAGCCAAAGCCCCATGCACTAGCAGCTGAGATGGGAAACAGTCTGAATTGCTGATGTCCAGCTCTGAAATGCCATGCAGGAGCTCGTCTCTGTCCTCAGAGAGGTCGTCTTCACAACTGCGAAAAGACACAAGCATTCCGTGTTAGAGGCATGCGTGGTCCCTACACAAAGCCCCTAGGCCAGCACCTGGTACACAGCAAGGCCTTCAGATCATCTGCTCGTACCAATCCTCTTTATAGCTCTTACAGGAGAGCTGGGAGAACAGACTGGATAGATCTGAACTCCCTGGGCATGGAAATTCTGTTGGAGGGAGGTTTTACGGTCTCATATGAATTCTGCTCTGTCTAAGTTCTCCAAAGGACATTGCAAAAGAGATCCTGTTCTGTGTACCAAGTACTTTATTTGAAAGAGTCTAGATTTTAGTTCTTTAAAAAAATATTTCAAGTCTTTCGAACATCAGTAAAAGCACTGAATAGGAAAGTGTGCTTTTATTTTGATAAGGAGTCTCTTAGCAACTTCATACAGCTAATTTTCGACAAAGTCTAAGGACAGCTCAGTTATTATCTAAGGAGAGGATCAAGAGAGCTGACTGGCCTCAATTCCAGTGAGAACCTCTGGCAACCTGACCCAAGAGGACTGATTATATCTAGAACTCTACTCATTCTTTGGCTGCCACAGGAGAGAAGAATTCCTGTGTTGGGGGTGGAAGGGGGGAGGAGAGTTTGCTCAGCATCATGTGTCTATTTTGCGTGGGTTACTAACCTATCCCCGGAGGGCCTCAGCATACCCACAAGTCCCAACTGGTGGATGTGACCCTGAATACCTAGCAGGATGACTGGGGATAGGGTCAGCTCTCATAAGTCTGAGATTTCAGACCCAGTTCTGCCATTTTTGTTAGGTACAGAGCTGTGGCAATGATGTGGTCAGAAGACAGCTTTTAAAGAAACTCCCAAACCTGCAGGAACATGTAGACAACACAGCTGTAGTATTGGAAGTGGGTGGGCTTCCCAGCAGACCCTTCCCTGAAGAGAAAGGCATTGCTCTACAGTTTGGAGCCGACTGCCCCTGTCCCTGAAGTATTAGCCACTAAAATCATTCAACTAGTTCTTCTGCTTTGATTGCACGCTCACCAAACACCTCTGTGATGATAATCCTGTGTCCAAGATCAGCTGCTTAAAGATATCAAGAAGTCACTGGCCACCAGGCCAGGCAGAATGAATGACCTGGTTTTGTCTTGGACAATCTAATTTGATGATTCTAACAACGAGATTTTAAAATGTTTAGTACTTTACATTTATTTTTCTTATTTTTAAATTTATTTTTCTTATTTTTAAATTTATTTTTATTGTAGAGGTGATGTACAGAGGGGTTATAGTTACATAGATCAGGTAACGAATATTTATCTTTTTTAATCTTGTCACCTCTTCCCTCATTTTCTCCCGTCACTCCTGCCCTAAGAGTTGTATAGTTCATTTTCAACAGTGTCTAGTATCACTGCTATGTGTTCACATTTTGTCCTACCATTTCTGTGCCCTCTCTTACCCTCCCCCAAACAGATAAGTGGAAACAAGAGGACTTTTTTGTTGTTGTTATTTTGCTTTCCCCACCCCCTCCTTTGTTGATTTTTTGATTACGGTACTTTACATTTTTTAACCTTTTTTTTTCCTTTTTCACCAATGAAGCCAGCAAACAAAGATGGTTGATTATTGTGCTTCAAATGAACCCATCGGCAAATGTCAGGATTTCTGAACTAGCTTGGTGTGACTAGATAAGACAGTTGCCAGGCCTACATCTAAAAAACAAAACTATCTGAGTTCCTGGTCAGCCCAGGGGCTATTTTCAGGGACATCTGTCTGTTAGTTCCAACATCCCGGCTATTGGAAGTGGAGGAGCTAACTAATAATTTCATAAATTGCAAAAGAAAGCAATCAAATATGACTTCTCTTTCTCACCCTTTTCTGAAATAAAACAAAAGTCATTTTAAAAGAACTCTACCAGGACAGATGAGAGAGAAAGACGGAAGGAGTGACATTGATCAAGATGCATTATAACTATAACTGATTTGTTGAATTGACATCCCTTTGTATAACTACTTATGAGATAACAGTAGTAGTAGTAGTAGTAATAGAACTCCATCATAGCACTGGATTTTGAAAAGAGCACAATCTGCAAACTTGAATGGTGGGTACTTTTATATTGTAAAGTGAAATGGAACTATATAGATCAGTAATCCACTGGAACAAAAGAATCCTGGACTGAATGTGTATGAAAAGAAAACTAAGGAAACAAAAGGACTAGGATAATCATTTGTCCTGGAAAATACACTGCAGAAACCAGTAATGATCTATCTATAATTTCAATGTAATTTCCAATTTAAATAATAATGAGTCACCAAACTATGTCTGATGGGAACTAATAGCATGAAAGAGAAGTATGAAACTAGTCAAAAGAAATAACCAACTTCCAGCCGGGTGCCAGTAGCTCACACCTATAGTCCTAGCTACTCAGAAGGCTGAGATCTAAGGATCAAGGTTCAAAGCCAGCCTGGGCAGGAAAGTCCGTGAGACTCCTATCTCCAATAAACCACTAGAAAACTGGAAGTGGCGCTGTGGCCCAAGCGGTAGAGCGCTCACCTTGAGCTAAAGAGTGCAAGGACAACGGCCAAGCCCAGAATTCAAGCCCCACGACCGACCAAAAAACAAAAAAGAAAGAAAAAAAGAAAAAAAAGAAATAACCAACTTCCAAGGAAATAGCAAAAGTCCTAAGTATGTATGCCTAGGCACTAGTGAGTTTAAGAAGACATATTACATCTCCCTCAAAAAAAAAAAGGTGGAGGAAGAGAGGGGCACGCTGCTATAAAAACTCACTAATGGAAAGAATAATGATGGGATTGTCAAACAGATCATTTCAGTTTTAACACGGGAAGAATATAAGTCTTGGGGGGCTGGGAAGGTGGCTCAGTGGTAGAGCTCTTGCCTTGCATGCCTGAGGCCCTGGGTTCGATTCCTCAGCACCACATAAGCAAACAGAAAAAAGCCGGAAGTGGCGCTGTGGCTCAAGTGGTAGAGCGCTAGCCTTGAGCTGAAGAGCTGAGGGGCAACGCCCAGGCCCAGAGTTCAGGCCCCACGACCGGACCCAAAAAAAAAAAAAAAAAAGAAAAGAAGTCTTGGCGCAGCTAAAGACTGTGAATAAATTAAGTGGAAAATTGGGCAAAAGTCATTCTTCTTGGCTATGGTGCATAGTGCTACAATGAACATGGCTGTAATGATAGCTTTACTGTCATTGTTTGTGTTCTATTGGAAAAATGCCCAGGAGTGGCATTGCTGGGTCATAGGGTAGTTCTAGATTTATTTATTTTTTTTGTCGGTCATGAGGCCTCAACTCTGGGCCTGGGGACTGTCTCTCAGCTCTTCAGCTAAAGGCTAGCTCTCTACCACTTGAGCCACAGCACCACTTCTGGCTTTTTCTGCTAATGTGGTGCTGAGGAATTGAACCCAGGGTCTCATACATGCAAGGAAAGCACTCTACCACTAAAGCCACCTTCCCAGCCCCTATAATTAATTTTTTGAGGAACTTCCATAATGCTTTCCAGAGTGGTTGAACAATCTTATATTCCCATCAACAGTGTATTATAGTTCCCTTTTGGCTGAATCCTCGCCAGCACTTTTTTTTTTGATAGTGGCCCCTCTAGCCCAAATGCCCCTAAATGGACAAATGGATCAAGAAAAATGTGGTGATTATATTCACAATGGAATTTTATTTATTTACGACAAAGAATAATTTTGTACCATTTGCAAGGGAATGGAATGACTGGGAAAAAAATTATATTAAGTGAAGTAAGCCAGGCACAGAGGAGCAAAGGTTACATGGCTTTCTTCACTTGTGGTAGCTAGAATATACTTATAAATCTATAAGAAAACACATTGGACAGTATGCAAATGGTTACAAATGAATTAACTGAAGTGTAATAGACTCTGGAAAGCTAGACTAGGTCAAAGGCCAACATAATCAACACCAGGAAAGGGTACCTGCAAGAAGTGGGAGGTGGAACTGAGGGGAGAGGGGTAGACAAATGAAGGGAGTATACACCACAAAATTAAGAAAAGGGAAGGGATAAGTCGAAGGGGGTGAGAATGTTGAAGAGGTGACACTAGTCAAGATGCATTTATCCATAAACTGCTTGGTTATAGGGCACCTACTCTGTACAACTACTTAAAGATAATAAAAAAATTTAAAGAAGTCATCCTTCTGAGAGATGTGTTAAGGGTATAAATAAAACAATACAAAAAATAAAATAAAACATAAGGAAGGATATAATACCTGAAGATTTAATATCTAGCAAGTAAGAATTCCAGAAGAAATCAATAACAAAACAAAATGACGATATCGTCCAGTTTGCTGGTCTGGCTAATATTATAGTAATTTGGCTCCTGTGTCTGTTAGTAAGAGTTCTAGCAAATACATACCCAAGTTTGCTTTATTTACAGTTTCATTTTCTGCACGTTTGGTTGCCTGTCGTCAGTTGTGGTTCAAAGTATTAAAAGGAAAATTCCACAAATAAATGATTCATAGATTTTAAATAGTGCATATTCTGAGTAGTGTGAAATGAACTCTTATGCTTACTATATGGTGAACATTAATCATTCCTCTGTCCAGGGTGTCCACACTGTGTACTCTACCCACCCTTGGTCCCTCTGCAGCCATCTTAGTCACCGGGGGTGGTGGTACGGCGGTATTCACGTTCAAGTGAGCCTTACCTAATAGTGACCTAATGCTACATGACAGTGCCTACAGCAGTCACCTCATGTCGCCTTGTCATAGAGCCATAAGTACTTTACAGTAAGATACTGTGTGAGAGAGATCTCATTACATACCTTTTATTAGAGCATAACTGTTCTATTTTGTAGTTAGTTACTGTTATTTTTTTATGGTACCTAATTTATGAATTATACTTTTTACAATGATGTAATATATGTAAGGTTTCTTTGGTACTATGTATAATTTCAGGTATCCAATGAGGGTCTTGGAATAAGCCCTACAGAGATATCTCCTTCTTTTAAGTAAAAAAAATATCTTTCAGTAGCTGTACAAAGGAAATTCAATCCAACAGGTGAATTGATGAGTACAATGCGTCTAGATCAAAGTCACCTCCTTCCATCCTTCCATGCCTCTTATTTCCTGCTAATAATATTCTTGAAATGAAAAAATATCTAGGGTATAAAATATATACAGTAAATGGATGAATAAACAGAAGAGTTTGAACTCCTTCACAGATGCCTGGTATTTGGGTTAAAACCAGGAAAAGTGTCTTCTTATGCAAAAGACAGAGTCATGAGCTATTCTGGGTGATTTGCCTGAAATTTCACAATAAGAATTTCTATCTCATTCCCCATAGCTTTAACTTACACTGCGCATCTTCCTCGCCCAGTCCCACTTTCCTTGCCTCTTCAGTCAGATATTAGTGTTCTTCATTCCAAGGAAACAGAATTTTAGTATACAGTAGGGAGTGGCCTGGTATATTTTTTTCTGCTTTGTGGACTGCTCTAGCTTTTAATCACTCATTTATCCCTCCAATTATAGACATCTAACGAATGTTGACTGAGCACCTATTGATCTGTTACATGGACAGCCCTGTATGTAAACAAACAAGACTGGGCAGTGTTCTCAAAGAGCCTGCAGAGCAGTCTGTCTCTTAGCCATCATCTGCCTCCTTCGTTTGCCAGCATGGTCTCTTGCTTCTAGAGAGAGAGCTCCTAGATTTAGCACATAGAACTTATACCACCTATTTTTTTCTATTTCAACTTGTGAACTGTCTGTTGTTTTTCTTCCTATCCTAACCACATCTTGCTTAATATGCAAAAGTTTACCCACAGCGCTGGAAGAATTTAGCTTCTGGGGTACTCACCTAACTAAGACTGGGATTTTGGGCATCTTCTTGGAGACTTTGAAGAAACTTGTGTCTCCTTTGTTGTCGGTGAAGTACACGCCAGCCACACTGGTGACCAGGTTCCCCGGAAAGGTGAACAGAACTCTTTCATCTTCACCCTGGTTGGCCCAGTCCCAGGCTTGGCCTCCCATGAGCAAGCCTCCTCCACGTTTCATGAACTGGACCAGCTTTTCAGTCATGGTTTCATTGTAGGCATCAATGCAGTAAACCCCCAGGGAGTCATTCACTTCCGGTTCAATCTTGGACTCTACTCCAGCGCCCTCCAGGATTTTGACCAAAGGTGCCACAGATGGGTGTATACCAATGGGGGCCCCAGGGGAGGAACGAAGCCACCCCACAGCATTGATGAGAAAGGGAGTGAGCTGGGTTTCAGCCAAGTAGTCCTCATGGGATACCACCACCAGGCGGCCTCGACCGTAGGAGGAGGCAGCAATGAGCACCTGGCCCATGTCATTCACCATGACAGGAAATGAGGCCTCTCCGATTAGAAGCAGTTCACAAGGGATGGCATCTTCAGGAAGGTCCCAGCTTGTCACTCCATTCATAAGGGCCTCAAAGGCAGCCGAGGGAGTCGCCATGGCTCTGTTTGGGTCTGAGAAAGAGGAAAGCAAGAATTCAACTTGGTGAAGAAAGGTAAGCAAACAACAACAAAATAGACTAGTTTGTTCTTCCACTACTTGGGCAAGCTTCTGAAGAAGACTTACATTGCACTGAATCAAATCGCAGCGTCAGTGGCTACAATCCCAGAGTGCTCCCCCCTGCCTTTTAAACTTTCAGTGGTTAAAGTTAGTATGATATTTTCCCTGACAGAGAACCAACCAAACAAGGGAGGAATGAAGGTGAGATTATGTCTCCCAAGGAAATATTGTGAAATCCTAATCCTTAGCATCTGAGAATGTGACTGTATTTAGAAGGAAGGTCTCTGCAGATGTAATCAAGTTAAGATGAGCTCACAGCTCTCAGCTGATGACTGATGAGAGGCCATTTGGACATAGAGAGACATAGGAACTCAAGGAGAAATTGTTGTTAGAAGATGGAGGCAGAGACTTAGAATGCTACATCTACAAGCCAAGGAATTCCACGGATTGTTGGCAAAAACCAGAAGCAAAGACTAAGGCAATATATTCTACCTCCAAAATCCCAGAAGGAACCAACCAGCACGGCTGAGACCTGGATTTTGAAATGCCCCCAGTGCTGACTTGAATAAAATGCTGTGATTTAAATTACTCTATTGGGGGTCATTTGATATGAGAGCCTCTAGAAACTAATACAGCATGCAGCAAGCTGCCCACCTCACACCCATTCCACTGGGTGGAATTGGTATTGGCATTTCAATTTACAGCCCTGCACTTGCTAGGAAGACACTCTGCCACTTGAACCATATCTCCAACCCCCAAGATCGACATTTTATTTATATTTCATTTTTGCTATTGTTTATTTATCTTCTTTCAAATTATCTTTTAGTAGTTGTACCCAGGGGTCTCACTGTTGTCAATTTATGAGTATAATGCTTCTTGATCGATGTCACCCCTTCTATCATCCTCTCTTGTGAACACTGGTCTTTTAAATCTCAGCTTGGAGCTCTTGGAATTATAGTCTAAACAGCCTACCCCCGTCTCAGAGAATCGGAGGTTGAGTAGGAGGAAGGTAAACGCTGTCTGTGGCTTGAATCCACACAACAACGAGCAGAGACTAAGTTAGGAGAGGATGGTAGCTTCTTACTATCTAGGATAAAGCTGAGGAAGGCACCTCTACCTCCTGATGTGACCTCACAACTGTCCTTCGCTTCTTCACTACAAGCTCCTTTTCAAGGATGTTTCAAGATCTCTCATCAGCATTCAATTGTTTGTATAGAGACATTCCCACAAATGCTTATACTTAACTCTAAGAGCAAATCCTTTAGGACTGAAGGACATGGCTCAAGTGGTTTCAGCACTTGCTTAGCAAGCAAGAAGCCCTACAATCAACCCTCAGAACCACAGTAAATGAACAAACAGCGTAAACCATTTAAGTTGTAAGTTAATAGGGAATTTTTGCAAAGTGAAAAAAGAAATCTGACCCAATGTTAGGCTTTACAAACACTGGGTTCTGCATTTATTGATTGTGATTTTACAATTTTCCTATTTTGATGCTGATGTTAAGTCTCATGTTAGTACTAGTACTAATGATTATTATATTTATTCCTCAAGTATCTTGGTATGTCCTTGACAAAGTCCTTGGCGTAGAAAATGTGTCATCTACAGACCATAGAAAAATCTCGGTCTTGAGGTAACCCATAAACTCAAGATCCCAGTAAATGAACACATTAGTCATTATGTGGTCATCAAAGACTTCTTTAAAAACTAATGAAGTCTTAACTGGACTATCTTCTCTTCAAAATAGTTCTTCCAAGATAAACTGCACAAGCTAGATGCTTCTGGCAGTTAAATATAAGCACCGGTATCCTATCCCCCTTCAAAGACTACTGAGCCAACAACTGGTTATTCAGAAGCTTGCCCTCCTTCCCTGCCCCTCCTAGACACCACAAATTACCAGGACAGAGAATTGTGCAAAGTTACAGAATGTCTCTTCTATTCTTCCCACACTCACTGGTCACCAGTCCTGTCGATATCCTTGTTCAGAATTTCCAATTACAACCCCATCCACCTGGCTTTAGGTCGTTAAACATGATTCATGTCTGGACTAAACTAATCCAGTCTCCACGTCCGTGGGGTCTGTTCTTAATCTCTATTTATACTACTGCTCTGGAAGGAAAACTCCACAGGGCTTCAACTGTGTCCACAGGGGGAAAAAATCTGACTTGGTCCTCCTGATCTGTGAGGTCTTCAGAGTAGGCAGCTCCTTCAAGTTTCTAGCTTTATTTCTCACTCCATCCTTCCCTCTTCGCTTCCAGCTGGCGGGGCTCCTAGGATGAGGCCCAGTTCTTATTTCAGAGGAGCCTCTTTCCTTTCCCTTCCCTCTTCCACCTTTCTAGCTATGGAAATTATTCTTCTAAGAGATGAGGAAATTTAAATGAACACATCTCTGAAAGAATGTTCAGCATCACGAGTCTGGCAGTGGGAAATAATATTATTTCATCAAAGAGATGAACTAGGGGACAGAGAGAAGAGAGTAAGGAAGATAAAAGTGGCTAATGGTATCTAATGGAGGATCGACTACAGGGACCCTGTCACAATGTAAGGAAGGACTGAGAAAGTCTGTCCTCTTTTAAAAGCAACAGGTAGTAAGTTAAAGAGTGTCAGTGAAGAGTGGCAGCATGCAGGACGTGAGCACAAGGATTCTGACTGCCACACTGACCTGGAAATGGAAACAGGTAAGTGGAAACCAAGAGGTGGACATAGAGCAAAGACAAGGAATGTTTCCTAGCATCAGGACCTTAAATCCAAAGCCACCCTTGCCTAATTTTGACCTCTCCTCCACACACTCCACTGCACCCAGAAGGACAGCCTGTGGCACGGGCCCACCCACACACCCACGCTGCATCTCCTCAGGAGTCGCTCAGCAGAACCGTGCTTCCCCAGCCTGGAGACACCACACACCCAGAAAAGAACTCATACTACCCAGTCACCCACTGGGCTCTAAGATACCTCAAGGATGAACTACATCTATCTTACATCTACGTAGAATGTTCTAGACACATTTTAAGTGCGAATTTCAAGTCCTTATGTTACATAGAACATGGACCTATTTTTTATAAGGATCAAGATAACCATAATAAATAACCATAACTGGAGTAATAATGCAATGCTTATCAGGTTTCTGGCAATATAATACACAGTTTATGTAGTTTCAAAAATTGTAACCCAAAAAAACCTATGAGATATATATATTATCACTATCTTCATTGTATCGACTAGGGAGAAATAACCTTGTGTGGTAAGGTGATGTGATACCTGCTCAAAGGCACCTATATGTAAAGTAGTGGATCTTGGATTCAAATCCAAGAACTACAACATTGAGGTCTACATTCTTAAGCACAGCACCAAGAATATATTAAGCTTCTGGTAGTCTGTTCGTGCCAGGTTTTGGTACGAGCAACAACACATTTCAACACATAAGCCCTGATTATATTAGAAAGCGATTTTTCAAACAATGTAATTACATCTTTGACTTTCTCCCCGGTGGTTCTTTGGGCTCACTGAGGTCCATTTGAATGTCTACAGTCACCTTCGAAGCAAAAGGTATCCTAGTCACAGCCTGTAGCTCAGGGAAAGAGTAAGTTTCCTATTCCCATGACAAAACAGCCCTGTCTCTGGAACCTACACAGGCTTCTCCCTGTAAGAGATATGCTGACAGGAAGGTGGGACCTTCTTGGAGAGTGACTGGGCCTTTCACATTTTGTACTTCCATTCCATTTCAGACCTGAGGTGAGAGAATGTATTTCATTGTCTGCATCCCCTAGACCGATCAGAGGATTCCATGGATGATGCTGCGAATAAAAGCAAACCTGAGGTCCCCGTGTTAGCCGGGCCTTGAATATGGAAGAAGATATAATGCAGACATGAGGAGATGCTCTCTCATCTTCATGCCATTGTCTTCCTTGAGCCCTTTGTTTCTTTTTCCTTATGCATTCAATAACTTTTCCACTGTCTATCGACTTCCACTAAGCCAGAACTGGAACGGATTCGACCTTTTTCTTTTGCATTTCATCCTAGACATTCCCAGCTGTATCTCATTTCATTTTAATAGGAAAACATGGTTTAATCCATGCATCTAAAACAATATGTAATGTACACAGGAGAATATAGTCAATAAAATACAGATCAATGTAAAACATTAGCTCCCCCCCACACCATATATTTATCACATGGATTAGAGAAAAACAACCCAAGCTCTAGACCCTAGTGTCTGAAGCTCCCTCTGCAAGCCCTCCACAGAATTAAGGACTCAAACCTTTTTCCATTCCCTTATTTCTATCTTACCACATTCCTTCTCCATTCCTGATTCCCCCCCCCCCCCCCGGAAGCTTTCTCTTGCTCCTATCTGCCCCTTTGTCCCACTGGCTAACTCAGAAGATTCTAATTGAGGAGCTCCAGCCCTGGGGTGAGGAGATCTGACTGCTGTTTTTTATAGTTCAGTTCCTGCCTGCTCCCTAGCCCTGGTCAGCTTGCGGAAGGTTTCTATGGAATGGGCAGTGTGGGAGAAAGGTCTTCCCAAACTCCACCAGGGGCGAAGCCTGAGCCCGCTCCCCTCTCCCCCTCTCCGCCCCCACCCCAGTCCGCACGGAGCTTGTGGGTGACGTCAGAGGAGCTGCGGGAGGGGCTGGGGTGGTGATGAGGGGTGGAGGAGGGGAGCCGGGCGGAAAGGCTCTGCCCCGCTGCTGCTGGCATCTTGGTCTTGTGTCAGACAGAGGGGTACGCAGACCACGGATCCCCACCCCCTTCCCAAGCCTCTCTCCAGGGAACAGTGCAAGTGGGATCAGATCCCCAGAGACCCTGTTGGCAAAGGCCAAAGGGCAGAAGCGATGCCCGTGGTCGCCCCGCGGGCTCCGGGGCTGTGCCGGGGCCTTTTCCTCCAAGAATGCCCAGGGTGAGATGCTCAGATGCTGGCCCTGGAAGACAGGCCTGCGGGCAGCTCGACCAACCACAC